GTGGATGTTAAAATCACCAACAATCACCAGTCTGGACAGCTTCACAGTGGAGGACAGAAAGTCACTAAACTCCTGAAGGAAAGAACTGTTTGGACCAGGTGGACGATAGACCACAGCACAGTAGAACGGGTCCTTACGCCCGACTTTAATCAGCTGCAGTTCAAAGGAAGCAAAGTGACCAGAGGTTGTAGAGCTACCTGGAAGATGGTCTCTGAAAACAACAGCTAGGCCTCCACCATGACCAGAACCCCAGGGCTGGCTAAGAAAAGAATAACCACTCGGGCAGAGAGACCAGAATAATCAGATGTTTGCTGCCAAACTTCAGTCAGAAACAGAAAATCCAGGTCTTTAGAGAGAATTAAAGCATTAAGCAAGAATGACTTATTGTTAACAGAGCGGGTATTTAATAGAACCATGCTGAGTTAGGTGGAGGAATCAGAAACTACAGAAACAGCTGGAGTTAGTGGACGTAAATTAGCAGGGTTAGATCCACGGTGTTTATAAAAACCACTTACGGAGGGAACAGGAGGAGAAACCACTGAGGAATGAGGAGAAACCGACCATAAAAAACTTGGACGGAGAAACCACGCCGCAACGCGGCCTGGCGGGAATGCGGAAGTGGCGCTCAAGTCACCAAACAAAGGACAAGAAGTTAGAAGATCATGCCGATGTTTACTAGATAAACCACGCTTTAAGAGAAGTCTTATTCTCACCTGGATTCCTGCTCGTTTACCTCTTTTCCTCCGACGTTTTCCCTGGAGGCACCCTGGTTGGAATTGTCGTTTGGCTCCGGGCCAGTGCGCCACTCAGATAAACAAACAGGGAGGTACATCCTCGGTGCATCTTGGGCGATCGTGAACGAACGGAAGGACAAAAGAGTCTGGCGATCATAGGAGATGGTAGCAGGGACACTACTGAAGAGGATCGCAGACAGGAGCAAGGTGGAAAAGAGGAGGTTAGTGGAGAAAAGTTTGAAAAAGTGGCAGGTGACATTGGGTAAGCCAAGCACAGGCGCCATCTTGTTACCGACCAATTAGCCATCACTGCCATGCGATGACAGCACATTCATAAACTTTGTGCAATGTCTCTAAAAGTTGGAGAAAACATTTTAAACTATTGTTAAACAGAAAATTCTGCGCAAGGTTGTGCAGCTCCTCTCTCCCCTGCAGCCGGTGCACACCGTGGCTCTGACCTCCAATAACCCCAGACCCGCTGATCAGAGCGTCGCTCAATCAGAAAAAGAAAGAAAGAATAAACCTCTTCTTTTCTCCACCCACAGCATGGGGTGGGCGATGGTGGCACAGGAGTTAAGTGCTTGCCCCGTAATCAGAAGGTTGCAGGTTCAAGCCCCACTCTGTCGCTGTCGTTGTGTCCTTGAACAAGACACCTAACCCATCTTGCCGGCTGGTTGGTGGTCGGAGGGACCGGTGGCGCCTGTGTACGGCAGCCTCGCCTCTGTCAGTACACCCCAGGGCATCTACAATGTTGCTCATCGCCATCAGGGTGTGAATGTGTGCGTGAATGGGTGAATGACTGAGCTGTAAAGCGCCTTGGGGGGTTCCCAGGACTCTAAAAGGTGCCATATCAAATACAGGCCATAAACCTCCAATTTATTTATTAATGTCGACAAAAGAACGAAGCAACGCATCTTTTTACCTTCAGTTGTCCTGACTGAAGCAACAATGAACTTCTATGAGAAAATGAAAAACATGAAAAGTGATTCATTTAATGAGAAAAGTTGGAAATGTTATTTCTGTTTTTACATTTTTCACTTAATTTCAAAGTATAATTTTGTGTTTTCCTCCCATTTAGCTAGAATTTTATTTAAATATCTTCATCCTTACTCATTTCATGAGCATTTTTGTGTTGCTTTGTTTGAAGAATGAATCACAACACTTTAAGGTTTATTCTTGAATAAGTTTTGAACGTCAAATGTTCTTCAATAATTTTTATAAGTAATTGTTCTGCTGAAATTCATCTGGCACATGAGCATGTAAAAACTATAATTTTGACATAAATAAATAGAAGAAAAAATATAATGTGATATAGATCGTAGGCCACATGGCCCATTCCTACCCAAATGAATAATGAACCAGCTTTATCAAGCAACACCAACTAACCCAAATGGGGAGACAGGACAGGGTGTGACAGTACCCCAGCCCCCCCCCACCCCCCACCCCCACCCCCCCCCACCCCCCCACCCCCCAAAGGGCGGATTCCAGACAGAGGGAATCAGGCAGGGACCAGTAGAGTCCGGGGGCCAGCGTCTGGGGCAGAGGAGGAGACGACGACAGGCTCTTGGGGGCCTGCGTCTGCGGCAGAGGAGGAGGCGACGACGACGGGCTCTTGGGGGCCTGCGTCTGGCGAGGGCGGGACCGGCGGTGACTGGAGGCAGAGATGCTGGAGGAGACGTCCTTGACCTCTGGGCTGGAGGCGGCGGCGTCGACCTCTGGGCTGGAGGAGGCGGCGTCGACCTCTGGGCTGGAGGAGGCGGCGTCGACCTCTGGGCTGGAGGAGGCGGCGTCGACCTCTGGGCTGGAGGAGGCGGCGTCGACCTCTGGGCTGGAGGAGGCGGCGTCGACCTCTGGGCTGGAGGCGGCGGCGTCGACCTCTGGGCTGGAGGCGGCGGCGTCGACCTCTGGGCTGGAGGAGGGAGCGTCGACCTCTGGGCTGGAGGAGGGAGCGTCGACCTCTGGACTGGAGGAGGGAGCGTCGACCTCTGGACTGGAGGAGGGAGCGTCGACCTCTGGACACGAGGAGGGAGCGTCGACCTCTGGACACGAGGAGGGAGCGTCGACCTCTGGACTGGAGGAGGGAGCGTCGACCTCTGGACTGGAGGAGGGAGCGTCGACCTCTGGACTGGAGGAGGGAGCGTCGACCTCTGGACTGGAGGAGGGAGCGTCGACCTCTGGACTGGAGGAGGGAGCGTCGACCTCTGGACTGGAGGAGGGAGCGTCGACCTCTGGACACGAGGAGGGAGCGTCGACCTCTGGACACGAGGAGGGAGCGTCGACCTCTGGACTGGAGGAGGGAGCGTCGACCTCTGGACTGGAGGAGGGAGCGTCGACCTCTGGACTGGAGGAGGGAGCGTCGACCTCTGGACTGGAGGAGGGAGCGTCGACCTCTGGACACGAGGAGGCGGCGACCTCTGGACTGGAGGAGGGAGCGTCGACCTCTGGACTGGAGGAGGGAGCGTCGACCTCTGGACACGAGGAGGCGGCGACTTCAGGACACGAGGAGGCGGCGACTTCAGGACACCAGGAGGCGGCGACTTCAGGACACCAGGAGGCGGCGACTTCAGGACACCAGGAGGCGGCGACTTCAGGACACCAGGAGGCGGCGACTTCAGGACACCAGGAGGCGGCGACTTCAGGACACAAGGAGGAGTCGACCGCAGGACTGGGAGAGGCGTCGACCGCAGGACTGGGAGAGGCGTCGACCGCAGGACTGGGAGAGGCGTTGACCGCAGGACAGGGAGAGGCGTCGACCACAGGACAGGGAGAGGCGTCGACCACAAGACTGGGAGAGGCGTCGACCACAGGACAGGGAGAGGCGTCGACCACAGGACAGGGAGAGGCGTCGTCCACAGGACTGGGAGAGGCGTCGACCACAGGATTGGGAGAGGCGTCGACCTCCGTCGACTTCTGGTCCGGGGGCATCGACTTCTGGTCCGGGGGCGTCGGCTTCTGGTCCGGGGGCGTCGGCTTCTGGTCCGGGGGCGTCGGCTTCTGGACCGCCAACTTCTGGACCGCCGACTTCTGGACCGAAACCATCGACTTCTGAAGTGGAGTCGGAGCCGCTGCAGGAGGAGCTGCCGACTTCTGGACTGGCCGGCCCGGGGGAAGAGCCTCTCGGGTCACCGCCGGGACCAGAGCGGACCGAACTGGAGACGCCGGAAAATGGGAGAGCAGGGAGGACAGACCGTCCAGCTGGAACTCCTGGAGACTGAGGGTCTGATGGAGTTGGGCCAGCTCAGCTCGGAGACCGGCGAGCTCTGCTGGGTGGGCCGCGGGCTCGCTCCTCTGGCCTTGAGACGAGGGAGCTGCTGACTGGACTGAAACCTTCTCCTGGTGATTCGGGGAGGATAGGGTGTCCAGGTGGGACTCCTGGAGGCTGACGAGCTGACGGATGCGGGCAAGCTCCGCCTGGAGACCGGCGACCTCTGTCAGCTGGGCTGTAGGCGTGGTTTCTCCGCCTGCAGATGACGGAGGCGCTGATTGGACCGGAGACGGGACTGCAGGTCTGACTGGGAGCGGGTCCAAGCTGGTGCACCGAGCCGTGGCAGCGGCGAGCTCGCGGCTCCGTCCTGGGACACAGGGTTGCGGTGGAGCCCGGCATCCTTCCCCACGCCGTGGGCCAACTCCGGGGAGCACACAGCCAGTCTGGTGCCCACGTAGCAGGAGCGGTCTGGCAGCGTCTCCCGGTCCAACCTCTCATCTGGCTCCGGGAGGGTGGAGAGGATCACAGAGGCTGAAGTTCGGTGGCGGCGTCTGTGGCGAGGCGACGCCGGAGGAGGAGAAGCCGGCCGGTGGTCCGAGGAGAGAAATTGGAGCAGGCACTCCCAGGGGAGAATCTTCCCACTGGATCTTTTAGTGGGGTGGATCATTCTGTCAGCGCGTGGCGGTCAGTGAAGCAGATGCAAGGATCCACATACGGGTGAGGGAAGCAGGCAGGCAGACAAACCAGCACGAGTAAAAGTATTTAATGATCACACGCTGGACAATGAAACAATGATCCACAAAGAGACAGAAATGAAGGGGTTTAAATACAAGAGGGCTGGGAGCTTGGGTGATTGGAAAATGAGAGGCAGGTGGGAGCAATTAACAGAAATGCAGGCTGAACCAAATGGGGAGACAGGACAGAGTGTGACACACGTAACTGAAAAGAAAAGCACTTTCTTCTGGTCGGAAAGTAAAAGTTTGGTGCTCATTTAGCACTCATCACTGCTGTGACCCACTTGTTGTTTTTCAGCTCTAACTGTTGTGTTTGTGCACCAACAGGGTTGAAATCGCTCCTCATGTTCTCATGGACAGGAAGGAACATTACGATTCTCTCATGGATCGGAGGAAGCGTATAATGTGGCAGGACGACTGCTACATGGATCTACAGTCCACGTCCCTCTCTGCCTCATCACAAACACAAACAGAAGGTATGGGAGCTACCTCACGCCACTTTTTCCACTTTTATTGTTTAATAATTTAATAAACAAGCGTGTAGGAAAACTGTGCCATGAGCAACATTCACGCTAATTAGAAAATCAATGATGATGAAAGCAGCAATACCCTGAGAGGGGTGAAGAAAATCTGCGTGGAAATAAAACAAGAGCCTTTCTTTACAACAGAGACAGAATCACAAAGAGTCTGGGTTTTACTTTGATTAAACACTGTGATTATCATCGGTCTAATGCATTGTTTTCAGTCACATTTTATCAGAACAATCAGCTACAAAATTCATCAAGATGAAAATTTCTATCAGTGAATTTGGATGTGGATCAGTCACCCTGCCAAATTCACTCTCATTGACATTTTTCATTTAGAAAAAAGACTTTAGAAAACAGATATTTAAATTTAATGAAAGGAAACATCTAAATCTAAGCAGTTACAGAGAATTTAATTCTGCTAACCACCTCCGTGTACAAGGGGAAACCGAAGTAGGGCTGACGGGGCCTGCAAGAACTTCTAATGATCTTTATTTTAAAGGCTTTTATTTTTATTCCACAGAATGCCACGGAGAATAGTCAGGATGTTTTCCTTTAGACTTCCAGGAATTCTTCTTTATTAATCGGTTTGAAGATACACCTGATGGGAGTCCGTCATGCAGATAAAACAAGATATAAACTTTTCATGGTGCTAATGCCTTGCATCATGCCCTGAAGAGAAGAGATAAACAGCTACAGTAAAAACACACATGGAATAATTATCAAGCTTATCCCTCCACTTTACTGGTTGGAACATCCAGTCAGTCCTGAAGGGAGTAAATCCTATTTCTCCAACATGAGATCATCCAATTCCATTTCATCTTATTGTCAGAACCACTGCACACACAGCACAATGTATTCATAGAATTTAAATTCCATTCATCCATCCGTACATACATTTTCGTCCATTTTTTTGGATTGGGGTCATGGGGGCAGCAGCCTAAGCTGAGGTCCAGACTTCCCTCTCCCCAGCTACTTGGGCCAGCTCCTCCGGGGGAATCCTAAGGTGTTCCCTGGCCAGCCGAGAGACATAGTGCCTCCAGGGTGTCCTGGGTCTTCCTTCTTTCCTGGGGCGACATTGGCACAGGAGTTAGGTGCTTGCCCCGTAAACGGAAAGCTGCAGGTTTGAGCTCCGCTCGTTCTGTCGCTGTTGTTGTGTCCTTGGGCAAGGCACTTAATCCCCCTTGCGGTTGGAGGGACCGATGGCGTCTGTGTATGGCAGCCTCGCCTCTGTTAGTGTGCCCCAGGGCAGCTGAGGCTACAATGTAGCTCATCCCCACCAGGGTGTGAATATGTGGGTGAATAGGTGAATGAGAGTTTGTGTTGTAAAGTGCCTTGGGGGGTTCCAGGAATCTAGAAGGTGCTATATCAAATACAGGCCATTTACCGTTCACTATTCATTTAAGTCTCCTCCTGGTTGGATGTACCCAGAAAACCTCACCAAGGAGGCATCCAGGAGGTATCCTAATCAGATGCCCGAGCCATCTCAACTGGCTCCTCTCAATTTGGATGAGCAGCAGGTCTACTGCGAGCCCGTCCCTAATGACCGAGCTTCTCACCCTATCTCTAAGGGAGAGCCCAGACACCCTGAGGAAGAAACTCATTTTGGCCATTTGTATTCGCGATCTCATTTTTTTTCGGTCACTACTCAAAGCTTGTGACCATAGGTGAGGGTGGGAACGTAGATTGACCAGTAAAGAGAGAGCTTTGCCTTCAGGCTCAGCTCTCTCTTCACCACGACAGATCGGTACAATGCCAGCATCACTGCATACACAGCACCAATCCGTCTATCAATCTCGGGCTCCATCTTTACCTCAATTGTGAACAAGACCATGAGATATTTAAACTTCTCAACTTGAGACATAACCTCCTCCCTGACCCGGAGAAGGCATTCTACCCTTTTCCGACTCAAGACCATGGTTTCAAATTTAGAGGAGCTGATTCTCATCCCAGTTGCTTCACACGTTGCTGCAAACCACTCCAGTGAAAGCCGAAGATCACGTTCTGATGAAGTGAACAGGACCACATCATCTGCAAAAAGCAGACACCTGATCCTCAGGCCACTAAAACTGATGCCCTCAACACCTTGGGTGCACCTAGAAATCCTGTCCATAAAAGTTATGAACAGAATCAGCGATAAAGGGCAGCCTTCCAACTCTCACTGGGAACGAGCTCGACTTACTGCCGGCAATGCATACCAAGCTTTTGCACCAGTCATACAGGGACCTAACAGCCCTTATCAAAGGGCCTGGTACCCCATAGTCCCAAAGTACCCCGCAAAGCCCCCCCCCCCCCCCCCCCCCCCCCCCGAAGGATGCGGTTGAACGCCTTCTCCAAAACAAATTCTCCACAAAACACATGTAGATTGGTTGGGTGATCTCCTACGCACCCTCCAGGACTGTCCTATGGGTATAGAGCTGGTCCAGTGTTCCACGGCCAGGACGAAAGCCACATTGATCCTCCTGAATCCAAAGTTCCACTATCCAACAGACCCTCCTCTCCAGAACCCCTGAATAGACCTTTTCCAGGGAGGTCCAGGAGTGGGATATCTTAGTAGCTGGAACACATCCCTGCTGTCTCCCTTTTTAAATAGGGGGACCATCACCCCAGTCCGCCAATCCAGTGGAACTGCCCCTGATGTCAACGCGACACTGCAGAGCTACGTCATCCAACACACCAGAATTTAAATGGTGTTTCTTATTATCCCTGATGCTAACAGCAATGTAAGTTAAATATAATAATAAAATAGGAAGAAACCCACAGTGAAAGAAACAGCAATTGGGTTTTGATTTGTCCTTTTACTTTACACAGAAACACACTTCACAATGGTTCTCCGTTTCTGATTTAGATCTTCACTGGCTCCAAAATCATCAAGACCAGCTGCAGAGGTTTATTTCACCTTCCTTCCTGGAGCAGATATTAGACCATCTCAGAAAGGTGTGTTGTGCAATTTTAACTGGATGTTTTGTGGAATGTTATCAGAGAAAGGAAGAGGATGCTAAAGTATGTGCCATTAATGGAAAAGCAGGATACACCTTCTGCCTTTTAGAGCAAAACCTCTGGAAACAGCCAAACTGTAGCTAAGCCATCGTAAAACAGAAAATGTACGGCTATCGCACACCCCATATCTTTTTGACGCCACAAATGGTCTTTACTATAGGGGTGTGACCTAAAAGAATCACAAGGAAATGAGCATATAATTAATAAGAGAAAAGCATTATTCAAATGCATCCATTACAGGTGGGAGTCTTGACTTCAGCTGAGGAGACCAACATCAAGGAAGCAGGAAAGCTACAAGAGCAGGTCAGCAGGCTCACCACTGTTGTCACTGCCAAGGAGCGTCAAAGCTCCGATGCTCTTCAGCTGTTCATAGAGGGCTCCGATTCTCCGGTGGCTTGGCTCATCAAAAACCACGGTAAGAGGCTCAAACTGGATCTAGAGCAGTGGTTCCCAAAGATGGGGTCGGGACCCCTCCATGGGTCACCGAGAGCCACACGAGGGGTCTTGACAGGCTTCCCAGAAGACAAAGCAAACTTGAAAAGCAACTGCTGAAGCTATATTTCTAGAGTGATTGCTGCTAAAATTCTACCAACTTGTTATAAATGGGCATAAATGAAGTGGAGCTGAAGTGGGTTTCTTTATGGCCTGAATGATTTAACTGTTTTAACATTTGTTTGATCAAATCAGAGATCTCTGGGGCCACATGCCTGAACATTTGCTATTTTGTGGGTCTGGAGCTGAAAAATGTGGAAGCCTCTGATTTAGAGGATGAAGGAACATCCAGTTAATAACATGAAAATCCAGTAAAAAGGAAGTGAAAGGCTGATAGAACCTTCGTACTTCTGACCAAAACCGTTTTATTTACAGTAAACAGATACTAACCACTTCACATTTATGAGAAAAACAGAAGCTGTTTTGGTTGATTGAAGAATTATATCAACCAAGTTTTTTTCTATCCATAGGTACCATGGTGGAGAAGCATAAAGAAGTGCTCTTGCAGCTACTTGAAAAGCACAGAGACAGAGATTCATTCAGCTGCCCCAAACTGGACACCTCCTCGAGAGTCTTACTGCTGGTTGACGGACTTTCTGACTTACAACAAAAGGAACACGACCTGATGCAGGTTGGAGTGACTCGAGGTGGGAAGAGAAATCATCTGAGGCAGCTGGGACTGGAGAAGCTCTTTGAGCCTCTGACGCGAGTCAGTGTTCCTCCAAGGGTCTCCCTCACAGTTGGAGTGGCTGGTATGGGCAAGACAATGTGGGTACGGCATTTCATCAGACAGTGGAGCCAAGGGGCCATCTGCACAGACATACACTTCATCTTACCTTTCACCTTGTGTGAGCTGAACTCGCTGGACAAACTTTCTGTTGAGAGGCTTCTGAAACAGTCTTTTCCTCATTTGGCCGACCCCAGTTTAGTTCTGAGTGGCGCCTGCAGAACGCTGCTCATACTTGATGGTTTGGATGAATTTCGCAGCACTTTAAACTTCTCAGATGCAGCTCCTTGCAATGACCCAAAGAAGGAAATCCCCATTGATGACCTCATTACTAACGTCATCCGAGGGAACCTGCTCCCAGATGTGGCAGTGTGGGTGACATCCAGGCCAGGGGTGGCCTCGCTCATCCCTGGGGGACTGGTAGACAGGGTCACTGAGATACCAGGATTCAGCCCCACAGACATCCAGATTTTCCTGAACCACCACTTCTCCGAACAGGATTTTGCCAGCAGGATTTGGACACACTTGGAGTCCCACAAGATCCTGATGGTGATGTGTTCCATACCGTGCATCTGCTGGATGGTAGCTGATACTTTGCTGTACATCATGCAGAGTGGAACACAGGAGAGCCTTCCAAGGACTTGCACTGAACTTTATGCCCATTTTTGTTCCATGAAAGCAGAAGTAGGTGAGCCTAGAGGCAGAGAGCCCGTAAAAATGGAGCAGTTTCACGGGACCAATAGAAAACTGCTGGCAAACCTGGGACGAATGGCTTTCTATGGCCTACTGAAGCACAAGTACACCTTCAATGAGCAGGACCTCAAGGCCTATGGGATAGATTTACTGTTGACTCAAAGCAGTTTTGGTGCTGGGGTTCTGATCCGAGTGGAGTCGGGCATACACACGACATACAGACTAACACACCTGACGGTGCAGGAGTTTCTTGCTGCTACTTTCTATCATGTTTCCTCCAAGAGGGCCATCTTTGACCTGTTCTCAGAAAGCACCATGACATGGCCTAAGATTGGCTTCCAAAACCACTTCAGAAGTGCCCTTCAACACTCACAGCAAGCTGAAGATGGCCACTTGGATGTGTTTGTGCGGTTCCTGACAGGCCTGTTGAGCCCAACAGCGCTCAAACCTCTCTCTGAACTCCTGACTCTGGGTAAAGATGATGGCAATCAGAAGGTGTGGGCTGCGGGGTTTCTGCAAGGCCTCTTGGCCAGCGCGGGGGCTGTAGTTTCCCTTCGTTCGGTCAACCTGGCGTATTGTTTACAGGAGCTGCAGCACACAGAGCAGCTCCGGAGCATAGAAGAGGACTTGCGTGATGGGAGCTTGGCTGGGAAGTTAACACGGCCTCACTGCGTGGTGCTCGGCTACCTGCTCCACGTGTCTCCAGAGTGCAGTGAACAGACCAACCTGACGGGCTGTCTGAACTACACCACGGTGAAAAGTTTACTGCCACAGCTGCTGTACTGTAGCCATCTCAGGTCAGCTCTTCAAAGCACACACTCGGTTAGCGAGAGCTCTCAGATTTCAGGCTGAAAACTGTTATCTGTTAAACAGGCTGGAGAGTAACAACCTGAAAGACGATGTGATGGAACTGCTCGGAAGCCTCTTGAGTGCCAAAGACTGCCACATCCAGAAAATAAGGTTCAGCTGATTTTCTGTTGTACCTTGGTGGCCCTCTGGGCATTTGTACAAGACTGATGAATGACCAGGTACTGAAAATAAGTTGTGCAACTTCTTCTTTTTATTCTTGCAGCTTGGCAGACAACGCTGTCAGCAGCAAAGGAGCTAAAGCCTTGAGTCGAGCCCTCCTGGTCAATCGGACTCTAACATCTCTCAAGTGAGAATTATTTGTTTGAACCACAACAACAAATGTGTGTTTGAGTTCATATCAGCAGGTTTTGTGCTTCAAGAGGAAAGTGTGTAAATCACAGATTTCGTTTAATCAAAAGTTATTTCACCAACACAAGTACCACAAGCCCTGACTTTCTGATAATTCATGCAAATCTAAAATGTGAGTCTGTTTACTATCGTAGAAGTGACTCCATTTTGATAAAACTTTTAAAATGTTTCTAATAGTCTCCATTTTTTATGTTCGTGCGTGCCACTTGCTGTTTTCCATGCCACGTTTTCAAACCAGGATATTCTCAGAGTTATTGCTGTTTTAGGTCAAATATTTAAAATAACTCAGTGCTCCATGTAACCTTTGCAAAGCCGCAGAAAGTTTTTCACTGGCTTGAAAAAGTAAAGTAGGTACAGGTTTATTAGGGCTGCATTCCATTTAGAGCATGTTCTATTTGTATGCATTTTTTACAGAACAGCCCACGTGTACAGATGCAGACATGGAATGCAGCCTGTTTCTAAATTCTATCATGTCAGATAGTTTTCTTTGAAAAAGTCCTGTCAGCAAAACTGACTGAGTTACAACCTTTATTTTCTGTGGCAGCCATTTTAGCTTAAGAAGTTAGTTGATTATAGATGAACAATCAATGATTAAAACATGTTACGTTAAAAATGTGTCGTGCTGCATGAGAAGTTTTACCAGTAAACCTATGTGCACCCACACACACACACACACACACACACACACACACACACACACACACACACACACACACACACACACACACACACACATACACACACGCACTCACGCACAAGCAAAAACACCGTAGCTCACTTTTCATCGTTTTGGCAACAGGTGATAAAACAGAAAGGGGTGATTTGTAGGAATGTGTTAGGGACAGAATATACTTGCTTTTAACGGCGTAAACACATGTTTATCATGGCTGCCACACCTAATTTGCGTCTGTTTGAGCGTTCTCAGAAATTGATGCACACTCGCCACTGTCATTCCGTTTCTCGTTTAGAGGTCTTTCATACTATCTGCAACACCGCTGCTGTGTTTTTTTCTTTCTGGATCTCAAAATGAATCAGTGACTGATCAAATCTAGTGATGCCGTGTTTGTTGTGGTCACCTTACAATCCCCAGACTCTATCCGGTCTGATTTCTCTACTGTGCCCTCTAGTGGACTCCTGCAGTACTACGTGCAGTGCAGCAGCAAGTATGTGAACTAGACGCAGCCTGCTTGCTGCACTGTGTCAACGCCAGGTTAAAAAGCAAGTACGTATATTCCCAGCCTTGCAGCAGCTCCACCAGCCCTGATCAATACAGTCTCCTGTCTACAGTCAGGCTTCTCAAGCACAGATGCTCTGCCTTTTTAAATCCCTGCTGTTAGTCATGTACAATGAGGACCTTCCTTAGGAGAAACAGTGTTCTCTTTTTGTCCTTTAATCCAATATTTGCCTCAAAGGTACATTCTCACAAATACAGACCACTATGTTTTAGTTTTTGTCTCATGCACATGGAGCCTGAAATCTGCTTTTCCCTAAAGTAAGCTTAAGCTGGATTCATCTGGCCACAGAATGTTTCCTCCTTTTTTTCTTACTTTCCAGCTAATATAACATTTTGCCTCAAGAGCACATGAGTGTTGGTGATGAAAAACGACTCTCCTGTAAAACAGAGCTCTGGATAGAGGTGATGGCAAGCTGAGTGACAAAATCCCTCAATTTTTAAAAATTGTCACCGACCACACAGACACGGCCCTTTCTAATGCAGGGCTCCAAGTTCAGGGTCTAACAAGTTTAGAGTCAAGAAATCACAGGGGTCCCAGATTCATCTATGTTAAATTATAACACAATTATTTATTAAATATTTTCTATTCGGTCCAAAATAATGTACCTTGATTTATTTCAAGACTTGTAAAATTGGTCTTAAGGCAAATAGGAAAATGCTTCCTTTGTATTTCTGTTTTGTGTGTGTGTGTGTGTGTGTGTGTGTGTGTGTGTGTGTGTGTGTGTGTGTGTGTGTGTGTGTGTGTGTGTGTGTGTGTGTGTGTGTGTGTGTGTGTGTGTGTGTGTGTGTGTGTGTGTGTGTGTGTGTGTGTGTGTGTGTGGCGGGGGGAACAGGTAAGAACAAACTGAATGTCACGAACCTCTTTTGTTCCTCAGCCTGCGGAACAACAACATTGGATCCAGAGGTGCAAAGTTTCTAGCAGAAGCGCTGAAAATGAACCAAGTCCTGATATCAATCAAGTGAGTAAAGCTCTGGTTCTTGTGCTGAATAATCTAACATTACACCAGCATTGTTCTACCTACATTTCCCCTCATCAGCCTGCAGAACAACGCCATCGAGAAGGAAGGTGCACAAGCCCTTGCAGAGGTGCTGCAGTGCAACCGCAAACTGGTGTCTCTAAAGTACGTTTATGTCCTGGTTTTAGTCATCGCTTATTGTTGGGTATTCCATTTATCAATATGATTATAAATATAAATGTTAGCTTAATTTATGCATTAAAACAAATTGTTTGTCTTCATGTGTTGTTTCAGTTTGAGGAAGAACACGGTTGGAGCAGCCGGAGCCAAAGGGATTGCAGACGCACTGAAAACAAACCGAACTCTCACAAAGCTGATGTACACAGTTTGCATGAATCTTTTTACTCACCTTACTTTAAAAATGAACTAGAAACAGGATGTGGGGTTTACAGGTTGCATTTCATTTGTTTAAAAATGCTCCAAACACAAAAGATATTGACGAAATGTAAAATTTGAAGGTGTTTTTAACAACCACATTTGCTTTTAACAGGACATTTGCACCAGTAAGTGAAAGGAAAACAGGTCACTGACATTATTAGACATGAAAATATATATTTTTTGCTTTTAAACTATTTGTTATTTTAACTTTATGTGACAAAAATGGCAGTGAAAACAAGAAAATACAAACTTTTTTGCAGTGAAGGAGCTTTTTTGAGAGAATACAAGAACCATTCAGCCTTTTATCAATAACAAGGTCAAAGGTCATCCTTTGTGACATTGTGGGATCTAGTAGAGCATATTGCATGGTAAATTACGTTTCTATGAAGATGCCATTAATGCTAAATGATACAAACATGTTATTAAGCAACATGCGCTGCTGCTCCTTGTCAGAGAATGTCTTGCTTATGTTAACGAGAAAACAGCAAACATGATGATAGATAGTCTCTCCTTAAATATAAATCACAAGAAAAATAAATGACAAAAGATGCATATAATTCAAGATAAGGTGGACCTTTCCTGTAGAAGGGTTTTTGCAAAAGGTTCTTTTAACCGCAGCTAAGATCAAAGCAGCTTTCTGCCACCTTTATAAAAGACCTAAAGACATGAACTAGACGGAGGCGTTAGGGAACTCTTATTTAAAAAGTTGTAATTGCTCTCAGTTTCACATTCATACAGAATCATAATGATATTCCCCAGATACAGCTGAGGTTATTAGTTCTCTATGACTATGCAATGCAAAATTAGCGGAAATGGTAAAAATAGTAAAGAGCCTGTATTTACCATGCACCTTTTAGAGTCTTAACACCATCAGAATAGAACACAACATCAAACACAAATAAAAGACGAGTCATTTGAAGGCGACAGTGGTTAGACGCTTTGCTAAATGTTAGCTTGTCACCTCGGTCTGCTTCTCCAAACAGAGCTTGTCCAGAGTTCTCTGCAGCAAGTTATTAATTGTTTATATATTTTCTATTTACATCAAAGGTTATGAACTATTGCCTGAAGCAATAAAAGCAGAACATGGAATATTGTCTTTACTGCCACACAATGCAAGTAAAACTATTAAGCTGAGGTTTATTTATTATATCTGCACTGATCCTTTCTAGAATTTCTTTCTTATTAGCGACTGGAAAGAACTAGTTTCAGCCTCGAATTTGTTTTACTTGAACATTCCTTCTGTATTGTTCCCCCGCCATGCAGCCTGTGCAGTAACCAGCTCGGGGACAAAGGAACAGCCGCTCTGGCCGAAGCGCTGACCTTGAACCACTCTCTGCTTTCACTTCAGTCAGTATCCCATCATCAGCAGTGCTGTGTGTTTTCTGTTATCTACCAGTGAAACTGTCTTCTTAGGATGCATTTTGAAGATAAATAATTTGGTGAAAAAGTGTAAAACTGTACATCAGTGACTTCTATTGAAACCTTTTACTTTTTTCCACTTCAGCCTTCAAAGTAATTCAATCAGCGACAAGGGAATGACAGTGCTGACCAAAGCCCTCAGGCTCAATCGAGGCCTTGTCTTTTTGAAGTTGGTGTTAATTAAAGCCTCTTTTACAATTACTGGATGCTACACTCATCCCACATTCACTCATTCATCCTTCTAATTTTTTTCTGCAGTCTAAGAGAGAACTCTATTGGAGTGGAAGGAGCCAAAAACATGGCCCAAGCTCTGCAGGAGAACAACTCTCTGCAGGACCTTGAGTGAGTCACCTCATTAATAGTGGTGCTGTGAAATTATTCACAGTTACTGTGGACATATATGCCTCTTAGGGGAATTGCTCCCCCAGGCTGTGGCTCATGGGAAACCATGGGTTATTATGGCATCCATGGTAGCTCTGACAGCTTGACAGGTATAGAGTTATAATAAAAATAATCTTTTTTTTCTAATTAAAGTCAGTTTCACACACAAGGTTGTGTGTAAAAACCCACCCACTGAAAACAACGTGATATAGGATACTGAAAGTTATGTCATTGTTCGCGCGTGTGTGTGTGTGTGTGTGTGTGTGTGTGTGTGTGTGTGTGTGTGTGTGTGTGTGTGTGTGTGTGTGTGTGTGTGTGTGTGTGTGTGTGTGTGTGTGTGTGTGTGTGTGTGTGTGTGTGTGTGTGTGTGTGTGTGTGTGTGTGTGTGTGTGTGTGCATATTTTGCATATACGCCACCCCAGTCTGACAGCCAACTTGCTACACGATGATGGGGTTCAAGCAATCGCCAGGGCCATCAGGAGCAATCAAGGACTTACCTCTCTGCAGTAAGTGGAGTAGAAAGGAATCAAGTTCTCCAAATTATACAAGTCATCAGAGAAACGGTTTCTGCAATCACGCACACACAAGAGGCACCACATGCCCCTCTGGGATTAATAAAGTATCTTTGAATTGAATTGAATTGAATTGAATTGAATTGAATTGAATTGAATGCAGACAGGCAGGACAGGCAAGGAGCACCCAGAGGGCTGACAAGCATTGAACCAAGTCAAAACTGCAGCAGCAGTGAGACACTTGGTGTGTTTACATGCAGTGTCAGAAAACCAAATTGTTGCCTTAGTTCGGCTAAAATGTAACTTTGTAGATGCATGTAACACCTTAGACTGACTAAAGTTAAACCGAACTGTAATCAAGCTAAGGTACCGATATTGCAGTTAGAAACCCGAACCTCTCTTTATCTAAACAACATACCAAGTTAGCCGAGCGTTGGCAGGCCTGGGCACGAAACCTGTCTTCTGATATCATTGCCACAATCTGACATGCAACACACTCAAACCGTAGACATACCTAACGTACTGTGCTGTGGCGTTACTCAAGACTCAAGACTCAAGACAACTTTATTAGTCCCCGAGGGGCAATTCGAGACAGCATTGTGAAGCAGCTGGCACTAAAATCTCTAAATTCTAAAAACCCAACCAATTTACACATTCGTAAAACCCATAAAACCTATATACGCATTCATGTCATAACCTCACATGTGAATGACCAACAATGAGTAAACCTTTGGCTCACACACACACACACACACACACACACACGCACACACAAATCCACATGCATACATGCACGCACACATGCAAGTAATGCACACGCCCCCTATCGGCACTAAGAATTAAGAAGAAGCACAGCTCTGGGAACAAAGGAACTTCTCCTCTATGTTTTACAGCATGGGCATCGAAGTCAGCGTTTGGAGGGCAGCCACTCGAAAACAGTATGAAGAGGGTGTGATGGGTCTTTAATGATTTTCTGTGCTAAACTTCCTGTATGCTGGTCACTTTGAGAAGTTAAGTTTTGCAGTGGTAGTCCAATGATCCGAGAGCACGTCCATTCCTTTGCCTGTTGTCCATTTACTGCTATTCCTCCATCTGCTTCCCTCCCTCCAGCGTTTGTTTCCAATTTATTGTTGCTTTAGGCTATTTGCTATAATACCAACACAAAAGGTGCATATCGCCACCTACTGTTGTGGAGTTTGACACATTTCACTCAATAATTTGATTTTCTTATGGACATGTAAAGTAGGATAAAGACTTCCTCTCTGATTAAGGTGTTAGCGTAATTATTTCCGTTGCTCGACTTAGATGTGCATGTAACCCCTCCCAACTGCTCTACCAGAGACCAACCACACTTCCTCATCTCCATGACAACCTTGTAGCATCACTGCACACACACAGGGTTGTCCAGTAATTGGAAAGTTGCAGGTTTGATCCCGGCTCCGGATGCTGTTGTCCTTGGGCACACCTTGCCTGTTGGTGGTGGTCAGAGCAAACCTGTGGCACCTGTGATTGGAAGCCTAACCTCTGTCAGTGCACCCCAGGGCAGCTGTAGCTACATCGTAGCTTATCATCACTGTGTGAATGGATGAATGACAAAATGTAGTGTTAAGCGCTTTGGAGTCCTCTGACTCTGAAAGGCGCTATACAAGCGTGGGGCATTTATCATTTATCATCACAAACATGCACGCACACATACACACACTCGTACACAAATGCTCACCCTTCTTTAACTCTTTAATGCCTGAAATAACAATAATTTAAAAAGCTTTTAAAGTGAACTGTTTACTGTCTGATATTAATAAAATAGAGATATCTACTATTTATCTATCTTTTATTGTAGAGTTATACAACAATATAACAGCTTCAGACAAATAACATAATTGGCCCTTGCCACCTTTAGATGGTACACCAGAGGACAGTAGAACAGGGATACCACAGGTTTGTGGTGAAGGTACTAATACTAATACTTCATCTTTATGCTTTAAGGCCAGAAGGGGTTTGAAGCTAATTTGCTACAAACCAAATATAAAATGATCTTCCTCTGTTTGGTCTGAGCACACAACATTTAATTTAGCTTTTGTCATTTTGAACCATTTTGTAATTTTCACCTAATAAAGGACAATATTTTATTTGGAATTTGGAAGAAATATCATCAGTATCTTACAAAATAAACAACAATGTTCTTTTTCTCTAGCCGTAAAAATTAAAAGTAAAATCAGACCCAGATTAAAAAATCCAAATACCATCTAAAATTTAAAAAACTTGATCCAGTCATTGTTTATACAGCGTTTCCTGCAACTGCACGAATGTTCTGACTCCTTTGGGTCTGCGTTCTCTCTTCTTTTCACAGCCTCCAGTGGAATTTTATCAAGTCAACAGCCACCAAAGCTCTGGCTCAAGCACTCGCCTCCAACAACACAATTCAGCTTTTAGAGTAAAGACCACCCTCACTCTGTCTCACTCAACAGATCCTCTGTAGATATGTTGATCCAATCAATGACCAGGGATTTACCTGCTGCTTTGTGAAAATGTGCTCATTGAACTGATCATTCGATGCATGAATGATTTCTGTCTTCATCTCCTGCTGCAGCCTACAGGAAAATGCTATCGGTAACGAAGGCGTGATTTTTCTAGCTGATGCTCTGAAAATCAACACATCTCTGCGTACCCTGTGGTTAGTATCAATAAATACGATGTGACAGCTGAATCATTATTGTTTCCCACAAATGCAACAAGAAGTAGGAACAAGTAGAATTGGTTTATTTTCTCTCACCTCCCCCACCCCCCGTTTTGTGCTGTTTGATCAGTCTGCAGGGAGTCTCAGCAGGTACGTGTGGCGCTGTTGCACTGGCAGAAGCTCTAATGACCAATCAAACTCTGCAGACATTAGAGTGAGTCCAGGCTCTCTTCTGTGTCCTTTTCTATTTAGCTCTTTACTGTATTACTGGTGAAACTCAAAAATAGGAATATGGTGCAAAAGTCCATATAAGTCAGTAATCCAGTTTAGACTGAGAGACCATCTAAAGGCTCAGGAACGCTTTGCAGGTGTTCTGGATTCATTAGCTGATTAGAGTGACACTTTGAGTCTATATTTTTATATAATCTAATTGTCTGAGATTTTGAATGTGGGGTTTTCATCAGCTGAAAGCAATAATCACCACAATTATGACAGATAAAGGTTTGAAATATCTGGTTTGCATGGAAGGAGTCTATCTCATATATTAGTTTCACCTTTGAAGATCACTGAAAGAAATGAACTACCAATCACTGGAATGCCATAAAGATATGCGGTGTGATCTGCCTCAGCAAGAGTTGTCTTTTTCTGTTTTCTTCATTTAGAAATCTACTGTAAATGAAGTTTGATGTTGACAGACGTGTTTATTGGAACCTCGGTTGTAGGTTTGTTCTGTTGTGCTCTAAACCTTTTCTCTGATTTCTCCTGTGTTTTAGCCTGCGGGGGAACGCTGTAGGGATGAAGGGAGCAAAGGCCCTGGCCAATGCCATGAAATGCAACAGAAGCCTGAAATCACTGAAGTGAGTTTTGACAGCATCATGATGCTTCGCGGCCAAATATTTCAAAAATCCAGTGATCTTGCTCTGAAGCTGATAATGAGTCAAATTGTTGAGATGAACTAACCTTTATCGTTTCTTTTTTGTCAGTATCTTACTGCAAATTGTAAACAGAGTTTAGAGTGGAGTTCTCAAAATGTCTTGAAATTTCCTCCATGGTTTCCCTGAACTACTATCATTTACAAATCACTAATTCAGACTTTGTAAATACTAATGAATCTGATTCTGGGATTCATCAGCCTGCAGGAAAACTCTCTGGGAATGGATGGAGCCATTTTCATTGCAACAGCTTTAAAGGGAAACCACCAACTGACATACATCAAGTATGTTTTGTATGCTTCATGTTAGTCTATCCGCTGGCTCATGAGTCTGTAAAAGTAGAAGCTATTAAAATGTATTTATTTATTTTTGCAGTTTGCAAGGAAATGGCATTGGAGAATCTGGAGCAAAGGTCATATCTGATGCAATAAGAGCCAGCGCCTCCGGCTGTGTGGTGGACATCTAACTAAAGAAACTAATGATGATTTAATTCTACCAACATCTATAAACCAAACCTGCATTACCTCTGATGCGCTCATGAAAGTGTGCCTGTGGAAAAAAAATGTTTTTGTGGAGAAGCACTTTGAATATTCACTGTTTTGTGTGTTCATTCGTTTAAATGAATCTTAAGATGTATAAAAGACGTCTAAAGCCATGTTTGTAATAAAATTCAGCACAGGAAGCGAGTCTCATGTCTAAAGAACAGAGACAAAAGAAACAGACATTTTCTCAGAATTCAGTAAGTAGAAGATTAGAGTGAATTGCTTTTAGCATCTTTTTTACCCAAAACCTGAATCTGATACGGCCGTGTGCGAGACAGTGGGGATCCACTTTTCTCAGCCTGTTTTCTGTGTAACTATAAAAAAAACAATATTGTGTGAGCCGAGTGAGCACATAGGTCTGACTGTGGGTGTAAAACTGGCGTCGTTATGGGAACAATTTAGCTGCAGTTTTGGGAACATGCTGTGTACATGATGGCTAAATCATGGATGTTTACCTCAAAGGTCATGACTCAATGGTTTCAACAAGCTGAGCGTAATATTTTAAAACATGTCAAAATGTGTTCTTCTCTGAGTGTAGTGTTTTATTTTCTCAGATTTATTTGTTACTTAGTGTATTTTTATTTATTTTCAGTTAGATAAAAAAAACACTAGTCTTCAAAATGACTTGTGCCTTTAAGCTTTTTAACGAAGCTGTTTAATCATGTTCTTTCTGAATGCACTTATCCAAATGAAGTGTTCAAACCTGGATTAGAATTGCTGCAGATGCTGTAACCATTACTGTTCCCAGTCGGTCATTTGCTGTCATTTGTCTTTTACAGTTGTTTGTTGATGGGGTAGATTTTCTGTTTAAATTTTATTTTTGAAATAAAATTCAGTATTCAGTTTGTGTTTTTCAATATAACTGTTTACATGAAACACCAGTCCAGGCACCGTTGTTAACGCAATATTTCTGAGTCGCATTGTAGTCACAATGCAAAGTCCTGTTGAAACCTCAGTGTCAACTATTATAAAATAAAACATCACAGTATACTGTAAAATAAATGTGTGTGTGTGTGTGGGGAGGGGGGCATTTACACTAAAAATCTTTTTTCTTTCAAACGTAGCAGACCCCAGCACAAACCAATACCCAAAGTTAAGTCTGTGCAATTAATTAATTAACTGCAATCTAACAAATACTAAAACAACATTGCAGACCAAAAGAAAATATCATTATCATTTTTGTCATATTCTGCTTTGCAGCTTCTGACTTTCAGTGTTGGAAGTAACGGCGTTAAGTATAACAGCGTTAACAACGATGTAGCTGTTGTTGCTGTTTATTTCTTGGTTTATTTATTTTTCTATTTGTAAGACACTGGGTTGAAACGGAAGATTGTTTTGTGTTTCCCCTACATGGACTTTTATTTTGAAAAGCTACATTTGAGCTGCTCTGCTAGCCACACCTTTAATAGAACCACAACCTATGCAATAATGCAGATGGTAGAAGAAATGGCATAAGCTAGTGAAAATAAAGAGTTCTCTGTCTGTACTTTTTTAGATTTAAAGAAGGCTTTTGACACCATTGACCACAAGAGACCATTGAAGAAGTTGGAAAATTATGGACTACGAGGTATAGCTAAGACATGGATAGAGAGTTATCTAAAAGATAGACAAAAGTGCGTAAAAATAAAAAATATAAAATCTGGATTTAGAGGAATAAGCTGTGGAGTTCCACAAGGGTCAGTAATAGGTCCAAAACTGTTAATTTTATATATGAAAATTTATAATGTTTGCAGCCCACACAAATTTTGTTTGTTCAGGTAAAGATGTAAAATAACTCTTAAAGGCTGAAAAAGAGTGAATTGTCCTCAAATCTTGGTTAGATGTAAATAAATTATCACTGAATATTAAAAAAATCACTAAATAAACTAAATATGGAAATAAAAATGTAATAAATGGGGATCTCAAATACTGAAATTGAATGAGTGTCTGAAACTAAATTTCTTGGTGTTGTGATTGACTAATTTATCTTGGAAACATTATTTTAATTATATTAAAGGAAAACTAGCTAAATCTGTGGGTCTATTATATAAAGTAAAAGACTTTTATTAGGCTTAACATTTATTATATGCTCACTAATTCAACCTTACATGTCATATTGTATAGAAATAAGGGGTTCAACATTTACAGTTTTTTTCGATTGCTAAAACTCGAAAAGCAAAAATGAGGCACAATTTTCACAACCTCTACTTCTGTTCCCAATCGCTTGACTCATTTTATCACTACTTACGATTTCCTTATCATATCAGAACTCTGATTTTCCTCCTTTACACTCTGATGTCAATTTCACATTACCTTGCTGTCAAAACACAGCACACAATTTTCAGGTTTACACACACTTTCCACATAAATTCTCAAAGTTTCAATCAACAACACACAAATATTCAAATCTCTAAACTTTCGGGTCTGGCGAGCAATTTGCAATCAGGGACTGCAGCATAAAAGTAAGTTTCCACAAGGCTACCCAGGTGTATGAGTGGTTTCAGGACCACCCACGGTTTTCCATATTATACCTTCCACCTTATTCCCCCTTCCTCAATCCCACTGAGGAGTTTTTCTCAGCCTGGAGGTGGAAGGTGTACGAAAGGAATCCACAGAGCAAGGTCCCACTGCTTCAAGCCAAGGAGGAGGCTTTTAGAGATGTGGCCTTGAGGCCTGTCAGGGCTTCATGAGGCACTTGAGGCGGTACTTCCAGAGCTGTTTGGACCAGGAGGACATCGCCTGTGATGTTGATGAGGCCCTCTGGCCAGACAGAGACCGGTGGCATGATGCCCCATGATTATGCCACATGATTATGCTTGGGGGGGTTAACCGTAAAAATCAAATGTTTTGTTACAAAATTTGTGTGATGTCTAGTGTTTGTCTCAGAGAAAAGTGAGTGCTGTCATACATTCAGTGTGTAATTCATTGTGTTCCCTTTCGACAATTGTGTTTTCAGTTTTGCTCTTCAGTGTTCTTTCCATGCTTGGTAGTGTTCACCCAAAGGCTACTTGTGTTTAAGCAATGAATGGTATGTGTGTGTGTGTCATGTGAAAATGTGGCTGTGTTTACCAAATGAAAACACGTGTTCCATTTTGGGAACATGTTACGATATGTGGTGGCAGGGTTTTGTTGCAAAGGGAAGCCACGGTTTAGGAATTTGTGTGTTATGTTTGGGGTTTTGTGTGTGCAGTTTTGCAAGAAACGTACAGTTTTGAAAAACGTGTTTTAGCAATCGAAAAAAACTGTTAAACACACATACATGAAATAAAAAGTACTAAAAAAAAGCTATTTGACTTATAAATAAGAGTACTTATTATGCTCACACGGATCTATTGTTTTTTAAATCACAGATTATGAAAATTGAGGATCTATAATATTATAAAATTATGCTAATTATGTTTAGAGCTTGTCATGGATTTTATCAATGTGTTTATCAATAACCCATTTCCTGTAGTCGAAGAGAAAAAGGAGACAATGAACAGACAAGTCAAACAGTTATAACTGTGGCATAATGCACGAGGCAAAATGCCCCGAACATCTGGTCACAGAGTTTATACCAAGAGATTAGAAAGGAATGAAAGTGAGAGAGAGAGAGAGAGAGAGAGAGAGAGAGAGAGAGAGAGAGAGAGAGAGAGAGAGAGAGAGAGAGAGAGAGAGAGAGAGAGAGTATGACTACGTTTACATGCAGCCAATATCCGGGTTATGATCAGGTTAAGGTCGGTATTCAGGTTTCTGAGTTGATCAGAATAACCCGTTTACAAGCATAAATAGAAAGAATTACCCCTAACTTGCATAACCCGATTTAAATGCGGACGTTGGGGTAGCGTCAGGACGTATGGACTACGTCAAGACGCAATATGCGTCATTTCCGGTTCTTCTTGTTCCGGTATCCGTGAAAACAACAACATGTTTCCCATGTCTGTACTTTCGGCCGTTAACAAAAGACATAATGTTCATACTTTTCACTAGACCGATGAAGACAGAGGTTTCCTCGTCACTCCAAAAGTGTGGTGCTGTGCCGCAACTCGCCATGTTGCTCCCAACTTGTTTACTTCCAGTGTTCTGGTGCATACAAGACGTCTCGCTACTCAAAAGACCAAGATTCCTTGCGAACAGAGCATGCGCAGAACACACGCCTTGATGGGGATATCCCGATATGCGTTTACACGACCAAACATTCAGGTTAGAAAAGGGTTACCCCAGGTGTAGTAACCGGGTTTTGAAAAACCCGGTTATGAACATATCCGGGTTTTTGGCTGTGTTTACATGGCCGTGCGGAACCAGGTTATTGTGAATATTCGGGTTTTAAAAGGGTTACTGGCTGCATGTAAACGCACTCACTGTGTGTGTGTGTGGGAAGTCAAGAATGTGGGTGGGTGGGTGTGGCTTGTGTGGGTGTGTCTGAATAAATGAGCATGCAAAAAGGCATAGAACAATACATATTACATTCAGTTGATTGAATCAATGATCAAGAATTAATAAACATTAAATTTCCATAACATTCTCTCCTGTTTATCCGAATAGGATAACCAAACAAAGGAAAACAACTAAAAACAAAACCAAATAAGGAAAATAAAAAATAAGTAAAATTATAAGGAATTTTATCCACTTCCATAACTCGTCACCATTATCTATGAAAGCTACATCAGTCACGACTGAAGGAATAGGGAAGGGGTAAAACCAGGAAAGGTGATCATCTTGGTAGTCATAAGGACCAATTGGGTACAAATCAAGCAACTCAAGACAAAAATGATAAGCATCAAAAGAAGAAAAATTTGGTGGACGTTTTTGTGTTCATACATTTTGTCATTGTCAGATTGAGGGAATAAAAAGTAATTGATTAAGTAAGTAGGTTAGGTAAAATTATAAGATTTTGCTTCTGCCTAAACCTGTTCAGTCATGAAATGTTCAAAAGTTAATGTGATTAAATGGGGAATGTGTAGATACTAAAATGTACAAGTATATGAATATATATGTTTGTGAAGGTATGGAAATATATGGATTTATATCTATGACATGTTACTGTCTACATGAATTACTATTTTTGATGATGACTAAATAAAATTGATCATTCAATTAATTAATATCAAAACGGTTGTAGGTTTGATACATCTTTGAATGCTTTCAATTTGTGAAAAATATTAAAACTTGATTGAGAAACTCTGTTAATGATTAGTTTATCACATTTATACTGTTATGAAACTGCTTTAATGTCAAGTGAACAAAGCTTTACTTTGTCAAATTCAGTTCACTGCCGGTTACAATGAACTCTGTGATTGTTTGCAAGCTAACAAGCAGCCAGTGAGCTGAACTGAATGAAGTGTTTCCTGAGCAAAGAGCCTGTTGCTGTGCAAACAAAATGGAGTATATATATATATATATATATATATATATATATATATATATATATATATATATTAATGTATATTTTTAAACATTTTCGAAATGCTTTTTTATATTTTTACAATTTTTATAATTTTTGTTTTTGTGAAGTGCCTCGTGATTTTTTATCTTGAGAGGCGCTATAGAAATGATATTTTCTTCTTCTTCTTCTTATTCATTTAAGGACCCCTTGGAGCTGCTCCAACATGTTGTAAACAAAGACTCAGACTGAATGCAGGATTACATGTGTTGTATATTTACATGTTATTTAGTTTTGTTGTAAATATTAAAATTATATTTAAAAAAAATAAGGATTCTTTAAATTGTAAAATTGTGTAAAAATAAAATATTTGTCTTGTAATTATTTGTCTACTGAGCAGCTTTGTGGCTCATGTTATGTATCTTTAGTTTATATCCTTTTAAAACCTATCTGCGCGACTCTTTGAAAAAAACAACATTACCCAGAAGCACAAACGCACATTACGTCATGGCGTCACGTTACGTTTGTTGTCGTTGGAGACGGCGGAGGCTGAAGCGGGAAGGAAATTACAGACAAGAAAAGTTAGATGTGGAAACTCTAATCTCACGGTGTCTGACAAACGGAGAAGGTCTTTAGATTTAGAATGGCCTGAAATCAAACAAACATAAATAGCAAGCGTTGTTCGGTAAATAAAACAACACTTCTCGTTTTATGTACTCGTTCATTTTGCTAGCAAAACACAAGGTGAAGCATCAGTCCGCAGGTGGATATCTGACTGACGGTGTCCGATGGCCTCCAAAGGTAAAGCGAGCCTTTATGTTCTGAGTCTCTAGTTTTGAATGTAGTAAGCATGTGAAACTCTTATTGTACTCATAAGTATACAGTCGTTTAACTTGCTAATGTTATTTAATACTTTGTATTTGCAGGTTGGCAGCATCCTTACGTTAACATATTCAAACATGTCAAGGTAGAGAACTGGAAAAAGTCAGCTAAAGTCGGAGATGTCTCATCGCACATGGTAACTGCATGACCTCTCAGTGTGTGATGTTTATACTTTTATGATTCAGCAACCGTTTTTTGTAGACCTACAGATCTGCAGCTACTTTAAAGGTTACTTGCACCAGACTCTGAAACGATGCTGCATGTCTTGTTTGATCATTTTAAAACTGTATGTGACTTTCATCCCAACAACAAACCCGTCAGGACAAGACTCTGAAGTGTCCAGTGTTTTGGATCAAGGGGGTTAGTCCTACCAACAGCTACATCCTGCTTCCCAAGAACACCAACCACTCTCTGGAGCTGACTGGTCGCTACTTTTACCTTCTCTTCAGGCCTAGTCCTGGCAAATACTTTGTGGTCCACCTTGATGTCGCTGTGGAGGTATCAGACTTGATTATGTAATAATAATAATAATAATCAGTCTTCTAAAATAGACAGTTTATATTTTAGGCGAAGGTAAATATATGTTACTGACAGTTTAGAAGAAGAACAAATCTATAATAAAAATTATTTAAAAATATCCAAAAATTGGGAAATAAAGAAATGTAAGGAAAGGGAATAAGAAACTGAATAGGAAAGATGTAATCAGTGGATTCTGGGAAAGGCAGAATTGGTAGAAAAAACTGAATGAAGAGAAGGTAGTGATAAATAACCAAAGGCCATGCAGTTTACTTTGAAACCCACAAATTATCTAAATCATTTTGATTTTAACTGTTTATGCGACAGATCATTCAAATAGTTTGCTAAAGGGGTGCTCCAGTAGATCTAATGTGGATAAATCCAATTGATTTTACTAAATTCAAGCATGATTATTACAGCAAACCTGTTATGTCATGGCACAGTCACCAGCTTATATACCTGATGCTCTGTCTCGTGTGCTCATATTTGAACTGTAGGAAGGCCGAGTGGTCCGTATTTCCTTTTCCAACATGTTTGAAGAGTTCAAGTCCACACCTATATGGCTTCAGTTTCCTTTCTTGTGTGGTGCTGCAAAGGATTCAGCTTTTGACAGCACCTCCAGAACTGCAAAGCATGGTAAATCACATGCGCACAAGCCACTGTTTATATACTCCGTTTTAAATATAACTGGTGTCTTTTTGTGGTTTAGGTGTAGTTGGTCCAGCTCCCAGTTCAGTGCGTTGGACTTGTCTAATGATGGATCTGCAGTTCACACTCTCTGTCTACCTCAATCGCCACTACAGTCACCTGAAGAGCATCAAGCTTTGTGCCAACATGGCTGTGAAAAACATGTTTACCACTGACTTGCTTCTCGATCCGGGTGAGAATCAAAACTACAGTAAATAATAATAATAAGAGTTTTATGTTTAATTTGCTCAATGATCAACCACTTCTTTCATGTCTCTGAACAGGTGTGTCCTTTAGTCAAGCAAAGCAGAGAGGTCTTTCCTCCTCCCAGGGAACGGGTCCGATGCCCAGAGAGATGTCCTTCCCAGTACCCAGAGGAGGCTCCTGGAATGACCTCTATGATTACATAAAGTACTGTCACCTCATCACAGAACAAATATATGTATACTTTTAGAGGCAACACTTATTCTTTTAGACAAGTATGAAAAATGAGCTAAGAAAGTAATTCCTTCAAAGATAAAATTGCTGGCACACTTTTGAGATTAGTGAAGTGATTACGTAACTTCTTAAGTGTAAACCAATACAAAACAACCAAACAGAGATTACCTTTCAGATTTATCAGCTCAGATTTTAGATGAAAACTAAATATGTGATTTTGTTCTGCAGATTTCCATCAGAAGACACAAAGTTGCCATTTGACTCAATTCAAAAGGATGATCCAAGGCCAGCAGCTCGTAAGTACCGTAATTTCCGGCCTACAAGCCGCTATTATTTCCCTGTGCTCTGAAGCCTGCGGCCAATATCATGGTGCGATTCATGTGTAGATTTTTGTTAGCCAACAACCACTAGAGGCACTCTCCAGCAGTAAAGTGAGTCAGGCATGGTAAAACGTTATGCGCGGAAGAAGACGCTCTTTGATTTAAAGCGGCACGTTTACACATCAGACACAGCCTCGTCATGGAAAACACGCAGAGGGATGCATATGCCGCAGCTTACAAGTTAAAAGCGATCGGTCTGGCCGTCAAACAAGGAAACCGAGCCACTGCACGGGAGCTTGGCATAAATGAATCATTGGTGCTACGCTGGAGGCGGCAGCGGGAAGAACTCAATCAATGTAAGAAAACGACAGAAGCTTTCAGAGGAAATAAAAGCAGATGGCTGGAATTGGAAAACATTCTTGAAGACTAGGTGAACACACAAAGAGCAGACGGCCGAGGTGTTTCCACTGTTTCCACTGTGCAGATCATTACTAACCAGGCATGTTTTGTGTGCAGTTTTTATTTTCTAATCATCCGGGGCTTATTAATGCTGTGTCAGCGCTGTTCTTTTCTTCTAAACATGCATGCAAATTACCGGTAATAACGTGTCAGTGCTGTTTTTATTTTACAACCATTGAGAAATATGAATGCTATCAGTGCTGTTTTCTCTTCTAAACTTGCAGGCATGTTCACCCGTGTTTAAAATTCATTTTGCTGAATTTAAACAACAACGGAAAACCTCCGTGTAGCGTCTTTCTGTCTAATTATCTTCTGTTATGGCCATACATGCGCTCTGCATGTGGCTGCTGCGCCGCAGCTTGTATTTGAGTGCGGCGTGTGTGTGTGTAGAAAACCTTTTTTTCTACTGGTGAGGCTTATATTGAGGTGCGCTCTATAGTCCGGAAATTACGGTAATAGGAAATAATTTGCTGCTTTTTCACATACATTCTTAGTGTTTCATATTCTTGATCATAATAAAGCTTCCCGTCAATCTTTACTTTGCTGTGTGCCACAAACAATTTATCCCGCAGTCATTGCTTTTACTTTGATTTTGTGTTACGGATTGCGTTTGCTAAGGCCAATGGGGCTTTCAAGAAATCAGTATTTTGAGATCAACTGATGTTTTCCTGGACCATCTCTCCTTCTGATGCTGTTTACATTTTTAGTTCAAATAAAACCCTGCATGCCTGTGCATGGTCAAAGAAATACAATGAAAAAAGTCAGAAGTTTTGGGTGGAAGTTATTTTAGTTTTGGGTGGATGCTTTGTAAATATTTTTTACAGGAAGTGCCTCATGTGTACTGAGTCCACTGAGTGAGGAGTCTCACTGTGTCACAATCAGCAAACCAGGTCCGGACTATTCCTCCAGTCAGCAGGTCACCAATCCCGAACCAGTAAGATCACCCTGATGTCAAAACGTTGTGTTTGCATGAATATCTGTGTCCAACTTTTATGCTGTCAAAGCTGTTATAGCAAATTTGGAAAATAAATGAGCTTAAAACCTTTTTTGGGTGGCTCTGAACAATGTTCTAGCATAGTATGGCTATAAATATATTTTGGAGGTAAAAAAAAAAAAAAACTAAAACAGAAATAATGTATATTCTCTTGCATTTGTCTAAAACCTCCACCAATAACACTATCTGGTTGTCGGTCTCGCTGAACCGCCGCGCTTCCCTGGGTCCTCCACTTATTACACACATATGTATTTAACAACACAACACCACTGGTGTGAGAGGTTTGCGACTCAAAAATATCAGAGAAGGGGAAACAGCCGGCTGCTACCACTTCCACTCTAGGACAAACAACCCGAGTCTCAAAAACACCATTTGAAGTCACGGACAACAAAATACGTTTGGACCTAGAAATTGGTGACTGGTGTTTAGCGCCGTCTCGTTTCCTCTGTCAATGTGGGTTTCTGGTTCCGGTAGACCCAGATCCAGGGAAGATACCCAAGGTGGCGAGTGTCCGTGACCGTGTTTGCGTTCAACCACTAGCTTGTTTGCAGATTCGCCATAACAGCTGTAAATGATAAATATTGTATTATTTACCCCTGCACCCCCATTCTTCTCTTCTCAGTTCCCAGGGAATAAAGCCCCTGTGGTCTCCAGCTTGCCTGATTTGGGTGCTTCCTCTGCTAACCAGAAGTACCGCCTTTTCCACGACAATGTTCACCTTCAGGGTTCACTCCCCTCCAGTTCACACCCTCTCACATCCAGCCCACCATGTGTCACTGAAGATGGTGGGATTCATGTGTACGTTCATCCAGAGGATGATCTCGGCTCACAGGGAGAGGAGAGTGAAGAAGAGGTGATGCTAGAGTAACTAGCTTGTAAACGCACATGTGCATGCTCCTTTTTTGTAACTGTTGACTAAAATCCCCCCAAAACACTAACTGTTTCAGGTGGTGATCTGTCCAGTTCCACATCCTGTGTCTGTGTCCTTGTCAAAAAATATCAAACAGCAGGTAGGACAGAAGTGGGCTGAGAAACAACTGTTAATAAATACTCCAATAACTCACTGTAAAAAGCTTTTGTGTCACTTTTGTGAATAGAAGCTGCTCCCAGACCCAATCCTCAAGCTCCGACGAATCATCGGCTTTGGAGGAGCCACCAGTAGACACGTAGGCTTAATCTCCCCATGCTTTTTTCCATCTTGGGATGTTATGGATATCATAAATAAAACACTTTGAATTCAGCTCCTATAAATTATTAATAGCACTTCTTTATGTTGTTGCAGGCCTTGTGGACCAAATCAGGTGATGCGGTGGTGTATCCGTGTCACGCAATCATTGTCTCTATGAAGATTTCCTCCAGTGAGCAGAGGTTCTTTGTTGGACACACCGATAAAGTAAATGAGTTACAATTTCAGATTTTTGAAACATCCTAAATAAGGTTTTTAATGTTTTATTTAATTTCTGGATACACATTTTTATTTAATTCAGTGACAGTTTACAACCCGAGCTGTCGTGTTTTCTCTAGATTTCTGCTCTGGCCTTCAACGGCAGAACAACGCTGCTGGCGTCAGCTCAAACTGGCAACAACAGCCTAGTGAGACTGTGGAGCTACAGTGAAGGAAACTGTGTGACCATGTTCAGGAGTCATTCTCATTCCTTATCCTGCCTCAGGTAACTCTCTGCAGGAACACACTCTTGCGCAGTTATTCTGACTCAACAGGAAAGTCTGAGCTGACATTTTTCTGACTCTAATAATTTGTCTGCTTTCTTTTTCCACACTGCAGCTTCTCATACAGTGGCAGTATTCTCTGTGGAGTGGGTAAAGATAGCCACAACAAAACTGTAAATTGTAGATTTACTCAATATTAGACACATTTATTTGCATCTCTTTTATTATTAGCTTGTTTGGTAATGATTAACTCTTTTCCAGATGGTGGTGGTGTGGAACACCTTAAATGTTAGTAAAGGTGGAGAGGTGACCGTCTTAGCCAAAGCGCACACAGAGGTGGACATTGGCACCATGAAAGTGGCCTTCTTTGACGATACCAGGTGTCTTAATTTATGAATATTTTTATTATGACAAACAAGGAACGCGTGCAGATTATGATCGATTTGATCAGTCGATGTTCTTGTTCATTTGAGATCGACTTCTTGCTTTCCAGGTATGTTTATTTTTTCTCTCCCCTGCTGCTACATTTAATATATTAAATACATTTACATGATTTTGTTTATGGGTAACAAATTTAGCTGGAGAGGTGTGCGAAGCAGCTGGGATGAGAATCGGCTCTTCTAAATCCATGACCAAAGAGTAGAAGGCCTTCTTGAGATCCTGCCTCAAGTGGAAGAGAATTATTCACGAGTGGATGGAGCGTGAGATCGATGGGTGGATTGGTGCTGCAGGTGTTGTACCGATCTGTCGTGGTGAAGAGAGAGCTGAACCGGATGGCGAAGCTCTTGATTTACCGGTCGAGCTACGTTCCTAACCTCACGAGCTTTGGGTAGTGACCAAAAGAACGAGATCGTGAATACAAGCGGCCCAAATGAGTTTCCACCGCTGGGTGGCTGAGCTGTCCCCTAAGCCTGGACAACACTGTGTTTTTGCCGTTGCACAGGATTGCTCATGCAACACTGTGAGGTCTCTAGAGAGGTGGCGTACTGTACGGTGCAAGATTTTAGTGCGCCAAACTGCACGACAGCTCGCTCAAGCTGGACATGTTATGAAAAGCATGTCACTAATAGCAGACAGCTAACCAAAACAACAATGCTGAAAAGAGAACAAAAACGCTGCTTTTAACACTGCTTTTTGTAGACTCTGAGCCGAACTTCAAAATGGTGTTGTCCACATGTTCCGGCGTGAAGCTTCCACTGCTCTTGTATTGTACTCCTGTCACTAGTTGTTCACGTAAATCTCTGGTTATATTTTCATTGGCTGATTGCAGATGGGAGTCCTAGGTTTTGAAGGCTGTTGGAGGCTGACTTTGGTTGTGAGATGGCTCATTAGGCTGTCGCAGAGCTGGTCACGCTGGACAGCCACGGATTTGCAAATCACCCTCACATTCACCGTTTTTTGTCATGATTCTGTTCACGATGAGGGATTTGTCTAGGATGGTTGAAAAATGCACAGTGTGGTCCAGGCTTTAGAGATAGGATGAGTAGCTTGGTCATCTGGGAGGGGCTTGGAGTAGCTGCTCCCCCACATCGATAGAAGCCAGTTGAGGTGGCTCAGGCATCTGATCAGGATGCCTCCTGGATGCCTTCCTGGTGAGGTTTCCTGTGCACGTCCAGATGGGAGGTCCCAGAACACGCTGGAGGGACTATGTCTCTCAGCTGGCCAGGGAACGTCTTAGGATTTCCCCAGAGGAGCTGGCCCAAGTGGCTGGTCAGAGGGAAGTCTGGGCCTCTCTGCTTAGGCTGCTGCCTCCGCGACCCGACTTTAAATAAGCGGACTATGATGGATGGATGGATGGATGGATTGCTTGATGGAATTTAAGCTAAATAATAATCAACAGGCAGAGATTTATGAGAAAATTTAAAAACTCTGAACTCTTCTGTGGCTTTTCTGTCTTCAGGATGGTCTCGTGTGGGCGTGACAATATTCGTCTGTGGAGGGTGCGGAATGGGACACTGCGCTCCTGTCCGGTCAACCTGGGTGAATACCACTCGCTGGATTTCAGCGATGTGGCTTTTGAGGAGGGAAGCTCCTCGGACAAGTATTACGATGATCGTACACTGTGAGCAAACATGCTGATTCATTCAGAATTTCTCATTTTAATCTGAATGAATTTAATTAACTTGTTTTATTTTTCTGTTGTAATTGTCCTCTGACAGGTTTGCCAGCACTCGGAGTGGTCATATATTTGAGATAGACTACAGCAGAGTTGTTATAAAAAACGTGAGGAAGTTGTTGCCCGCTCAGCAGCAGCATGCAGAACGCAGGGAGAAACTGACCTTTAACACAGGTGGGTCCATCATCAGGGTTCTGGTAACGATGTGTGTTTTAAGGTACAAAGATCTTTGATAACATCAGGGTGGTGTGTGAGCATACGGCTGAAATATAAGGATTTATGTAGTGAGGGTGTGTTATTTGTCATGTTTCTGTTTATGTTTCAACAATGAGATTTCTCAGCAGCCATGTGTCACACAGGTTTGTGTGTTTGTGTTCCAGGTCCAGGAATCCCCATCAACAGCATCAGTGTGTCTTCATCATTCTGTGCCACGGGCTCTGAAGATGGCTTCCTGCGGCTCTGGTCCCTGGATTTTTCTGCTGTCCTTTTAGAAGCTGGTAGGGACAGCGGAGTGGGGATGGGGCTGTTCTACCTGCATTAGATTAACTGTTGCTCGTCTTTCCTGCTTCCTGCTCTGCAGGCAGTGACTTTGTTCTTCTGGGTTGTGATTCTTCTCCAAGCAGTAGAGTGTCTGGTTGCATTTAAATAAACTCAGCTGGAAAAGTCCATCAACAAATGAAACAACTGCCTTGTTGCAGCTATAAATCCCATCAGGCTCATTCTTTAAGTGAAGCATCTTTCTGACAGTTTCATAAACCTTTGAACATGACGTAAATTGTATAGTTGTAATGAGTAATGTCGATTAAGAAAACTAAAAATGATGCAACTGTCAGTAATTTTGCTCAAATATCTAAAGGCTTGTGTTGTTTTTACAAAGATAAATAAACTTATGGAAGATCATTTGGCCGAGACATATGATAAGATGAATAAATTACAGATTGATGAGGCTTAAAAACAAGACATTAATAAATCCAACAGGGAATTATTTAGTCATGGCAAAAGCAAAGTTACACTCCTTTGATTCTGATGTTTCACATATGAGGACAATAAAGCTCAAACATCTAGAACTAGGTTTAATTAAACCTGAGATATGTTGCTTTGTAGAAATCTGTAAAATATTTCTGTTGTGTGTTTTTGATTAACAATGCTCACGGGTTCCGCTTTTCTCAGCCTTTAATCTGCACACTGGTGTCTGTAGAGTCTGAAATCCAGCTCTTGGGGTTTTGTGGTTTTCCTCTGTGTTACTTGGTCTGACTTCATTGGGATTTTCACTCATGAGTAACCGTCTTGAATGTTTTCCACTTGTGTAGAATCTTTCTGCTGCAGAGCGATGGACTCCAAGTGGCCTTGATGGTCTGCACCAATTCCTTTTTAAAGATCTTTCTCCCAGCTGGTAGTTTGTTAACACACACTTGTATGCTCCAGACCAGAAAACTGCAACAAGTGTCTAGTTATTTGGAAGTGTATTTTGGCCTATCGAACTATAAAAGGCTTGTCTGTTTATCTGATGTTGTTTCACCTGATTGTAGCACTTAAAGTCATACTTAGCAACTTTTTCATGATTTTAATAATTTTCTTGAGCCAGTTTGTGCTAAAATGACCCTTTACAGGGTTAATGAAAGGCCACCTTTTGCCCTCTGTGGCCAGAATACTCCACTTGCAACTTCAGAATGGCGGGCTGCCTTCTGTCGGACTTGGAAAAAAATGGAGCTGACATTCCTGGCATAGCGGTCTGGTTCTAGCACGTTTCCTGCATGTTTTAGATCATGAACACAGCTGATTTGTTTCATTTAGACACTAATGAAGGCTGAGGAGACGTTTCAGCTGTTAGATTAAGGTACACACAGCGAGGAGATGGGTTTTGCTTTCGATTTGATCACAGGTAATTAATAACAGACATGAGAGGGTGCTAAAAGCAAGCAAAACTGCTAAGTTTGTTTCAATCAGAAAAAGCACATTTAGGGATCAAAACACCTTTTTTAGTGACCTGGCCAGGACATGCCGCCGGTAGGTAGTTAGTTTCATCATCATTAAAAACAAGATGTCTGGTGTAACGTTTTAATGTCGATGGCCTGCTGGTGGGCGAGGCTTAAGCTGATACTGAAGCAGCTTTAAATAGACAATGTGTAGTTTTTAACATTAATTTCTGGAAACATCCATCAAAATTGTGTTGAAAATTAATTAACTGATGCCCAGTCGTTGAAGAATATTGGCGGCTTCGTAACATATACTCAAATATCAGGTCTACAATACCTGAGAGCAGGTCTAAGTCTCTGAGATGCCATGTTTCCTTCTACGGGAGCCCGTGAGGACAGAATGCATTTACTGATTTGAAACAAATGATTACAAAACTTTCTCCATTCTTAAATGTTGTTGTTTTAAACATTTACCTCTTCACTTTTTGCCAGTGATGAAAGCGAGTCTGATATGCTCGTCATTTTGCTGAAGTTTGCACTCTCCAGTGCTTTTTGACCCTAATGGGCATCTGTTGGTATGGTCTTACTCTGACACAAAAACACTGCTTGCTTGCAATGATTTAGGAATCTACCGCCCCATCGCCAGGAAAAATTATACACTGTCACTTTAATGAACTGGGATCAGAGGCCCTTTCACATTCTGGGATCCACTTGTAGATGGATTAATGATGACAAAACAATATTCTAATTTTACATTTTTACATTTTATGTCCTTAGTTGTTTACTGTCTTGGAAATAAAATGTTTTGTTTATGTTTGCTCCCACAGACCTGACTAGCATGTTGTTGTTTTTCCAGAGCATGAGGGACCTGTGAGTGAGGTGCTGGTCTCATCCGACAGCCTTCAGGTCCTGGCAGCCACGTCTACAGGTAACCTTGGTTTCCTGGATGTCCGCAGCCGAGGCTACAACACTCTAATGAGGTCACACACAGACGCCGTGCTTGGCTTCAGCGTGGATGGCATCCGTCGGCATCTCACAACAGCCTCCTCTGATGGAACAGTGCGCGTTTGGAGTTTGGATTCTCTGCATCAGGTCAAACAACATTCATTAGTTTTAGCTGAGCTTTTTATAGTGACTACTCGTAGATTATATATACCCACCCACATTTTACTCCAAAAAAAATGAAGTAATTGGAAGATAGCTGTATTTTTATGTGTTTTAAGGAAGTGAATTGTTCTAAACTGAGACTGCAGAGGGACCTGCATGCGTGCTTTTATACTAATCAGGCTCTGTTTGAGGCCAGTATTGGTTAGAAACTAGATGGTTTATTTCTGTCTTGTCTGTTTTTCTCCTTTATGCAGCTGTATGACTTTGTGTCTGATGACAGCCCGTGCTGTGTGGCCTTCCATCCACACGAGCAAACATTTTCTTGTGGTTTCAGCTCCGGGATTGTCCGGGTTTTTGACATTGCCAGCTCCAAATTACTGGCTGAACACAGGTAACAACTGACCTGAGAGGACGTCATCAGTTTGGTTCTTCCTTTAGTTGTCTGAATCTTCCAGAGACGTTTCCTTTTTTTCTCTTTAATACAGACATCACAGAGGAGAGGTGATTGGTTTAGTCTTTTCTTCAGATGGGGAGTACATGTACAGCGCTGATTCAGAGGGTTCCCTGGCTCTTTATAACGCCTCAGAGGAAGATCACACTGTGATTAGATTTGCATGTAAGTATATTTAAACACTATTAAGTAGATATTGTACATACCATCAATGGCATCCTAATTCTAGTTAAAATCTGAAGTTTGTTGTTGTTTACTCTGTGAAACTCCCTATGACAGTTTGTTGCAAAGGTGAATGTTTTAATCATTTAAAATGTTGTTGTTTTTTTGTATTTGTGACTTGATTTAACTGAAACCTGCTGAGTGTTTTCAGAGCTTCCTGCTCTACCATCTTGTATTTTAAATCTATATTTATGCACTATAATGTAATAGAACTGCCTAGACCACATGCTGGCAAAATGCAGCTCAAGAGCTGAGAGTGGACCCTGGAACATAACTGTCTGAAAAGTTGAAACACTTAGAAATCATGGAGAGGTCTGAAGTCCACATTGTAGGTGCATTCCCACAATAAGAGACAGCATTTTAAAATCAATTCAACAAATCACTTTGTATGACTTTTGAAGAATGCGTATTGCACTGATGTACAGAAGTATTTGAACACCTGGCAATCAGCAAGAGTTTTGTCTCAAAGACGTGTTACTCTGCCTTTAAAAAGTCCACATCTACTCTTCGTAATAATCTAAATTAGTAGCACCTGTCTGAGCTTGTTAGACACCTGTCCACCCCACAGTCAGACTCCAACTGCTACCGTGGACAAGACCTAGCTATCAAAAGACACCAGCAACAAAATTGTAGACCTCCACAAAGCTGGAAAGGGTTACTGGGCAATCGCCAAGCAGCTTGGGGAAAATAGATCAACCGTTGAAGCTACTGTTAGAAAATGGATGAGGCTTAAGACGGCTGTCAGTCTCCCTCAGACGGGGGCTCAATGCAAGATCTCACCTCGTGGGGTATCACTGATGATAAGAAAGGTGAGGACTCAGCCCCGAACTACACTGGAGGAGCTGGCCAATGACATGAAGAGAGCTGGGTCCACAGGTTCAAAGGTCACTGTCAGTACAAAACAAAGCCATCAAGGTTTAAGACATGAACTGCACAGAAGGTTCACCTGCTCAAGTCATCACATGTCTAAGCCCATCTGAAGTTTGCCAATGACCATCTGAGAAAGTCATGTGGTCAGATGAGTTGCATCCCAACAACACCATCCCTACTGTGAAGCATTGGGGGGGGGGGGGGGGGGGGGGGCAGGCATCATGTTTCGGGGTGCTTTTCTGCAAAGGGGATAGGATGACTGCACTGTATTAAGGAGAGGATGAATGGGGTCATGTGTTGTGAGATTTTGAGCAACACTCGGTTTCCCTCAGTCAGAGCATTGAAGATGGCTGAGTACTTCAACATGACAATGAGCCGAAGCACACAGCCAGGATAACCAAGGAGTGGCTCCGTACGAAGCATATCAAGGCTCTGGAGTGGCCTAGCCAGTCTGCAGACATAAATCCAATTGTAAATCTTTAAGGGGAGCTGAAACTCCGTTTTGCTCAGCGACAGCCCCGAAACCTAGAGGAGATGTGTATGTGGAGGAGTGGGCAAAAATCTGTGTTGCAGTGTGTGCAAACCTGGTCAAGAGTTACAGGAAACGTTTGACCTCTGTAATTACAAAGACTTCTGTATCACATATTAACAACGATCTTCTCAAGTGTTCAAATGCTTTTGTGCAGCAGTACAATACAAATAAATTATTTAAATACCATTCTAAGTGATTTCCTGATCGTTTTGAAATGCTGTCTCTCACAGTGAAGGTACCTACAACGTGAATTTCAGACCCCTCCATGATTTCTAAAAATGGCAAAATCTCAGAGTGTTTAAATACCGTAATTTCCGGACTATAGAGCGCACCTCAATATAAGCTGCACCAACGGAAAAAAAAGGTTTTCTACACACACGCCGCACTCAAATACAAGCCGCAGTGCGGCAGCCACATGCAGGTCTCCGGCGCACAGCGCATGTATGGCCATAACATAAGATAATTAGACAGAAAGACGCTACACAGAGGTTTTTCGTTGTTGTTTTGATTCAACAAAACGAATTTTAAACACAGGTGAACATGCCCGCAAGTTTAGAAGAGAAAACAGCACTGATAGCATTCATATTTCTGGATGGTTATAAAATAAAAACAGAACTGACACATTATTACCGGTAAGTTGCATGCATGTTTAGAAGAAAAGAACAGCGCTGACACAGCATTAATAAGCCCCGGATGATTAGAAAATAAAAACTGCACACAAAACATGCCTGGTTAGTAAATAAAACACACTTGTCTACCAGAAAAAGTCATTCGCTCTCATCTTCCTCTTGAGCACTAAAGTCATTAAAGTCCTCTTCTTCAGTGTCGCAGTTGAACAGCCTCAGAAGAGCTTCGTCACATACCTTTTCTGTGTCGCTGTCCGTGTTGCTGTCATCATCCCCGGGTGAAGCTGGCTTGAATGATTTCTTCCCGCTGCCGTCTCCAGCGCCGAACCTTAGATTCATTCATGCCAAGCTTACGTGCGGCAGCACTGTTTCCCTCCTTTACTGCCAGATCGATGGCCTTCAACTTAAATGTGGCAACATATGAACTCATACGTGTAGTTACCATGATGAGGGGGTATGGATTTGAAAAAAAATCTTTGTCGTGCCGGCTGCTTGCATGTGCTAAATTAAAATGAGCACTTCCTTCGATTTCCACTTTTGACTTCCACCTGTTTCACTTTCTGCTAAAGCGCCCCCTGGCAGGTGAAAGAAAATCTTCAGTAAAGCCGCACCTCATTATAAGCTGCATGGTTCAAAGCGTGGGAAAAAAGTAGCGGCTTATAGTCCGGAAAATACGATACTTGTTTCTCGCTGTAGTCCTCACAAATATAAAAATGTTGAGAATCATCAGTTGAGTGAAACTAAAGTCTTAAGTTAACTTAAATGTTATGTTTTTACTAAAATAACCCTGAAGTTTTATTTTCTAGAATAATAGAAGTGTGTGTTAGACTCAGATTAAAGGGGCATTATGGAAGTTTGACAGCCAAAACATGTATAGAAATAATAAATTTCTTCTTCATACATTCTCCTGCAGTGCCCTGGTCCTGTAGAATGAGCCCTGGCATTTTTACTGTGATTGCCTGTTTTTCTGTAAAATCACAGAAAAAGAGAGCTGCTCGGGTCGAGCAGGCTGCTTCATGCGCGTTCACACTCAGGCATCGCCCGTAGCGTTTGCTATCAGTAGCTTTAGCAGCAGAGAGAGAGGCAGTTCCACTTTGTCGCTGTTCCTAACGCCTAGTGACAAAGCTAGCTACATTTCTGAGAACCATTAGCTACTTTCTTCTAGATATTTCCTGCAAATTAGCAACAAAATAGCCATTTTCGCTCCAAACCGTTCTTTGAATGTTGTTTCAGTTGTTATCAAGGCTATAAATGTCACAGATACAAAGGACGTCAATGGCGCTTTAGCTCACCTAGTAAGACGTCGGACTCTCATGCTGAAGACCTGGGTTCGATTCTGGATGTGAACATAGTTTATTTAGAGTTTATTTTTTACATTAATGTTATATTTTTTTTTACAATAAGATGCCCACATTTTTTTTTTGAGACTCGCCGAACGGCATTGCATTCACAGATAAAAAAGATGTGGGTTCAACTTTCCTTTTGGAACAATTTTTCAAGAGCATGCAGGAGGACTGACCCATCTTAAACCTTTGTTGGCTGTGCTGAAGAGAAAGGTACAGAACTAAATTATTTAATTAATTAGCTGCGTGTTCTCCTGTCCTCTGTCCTCCGGGCCACACACACACACACACACACACACACACACGGGACTGTCTCAGCTGTTATTTTCGTTAAGGAGTGTGCACGTACAGCATGCGCACCTCGTGCACGAGCCTACTATTGAAGTTGCCGTTGCGCTTTTGGCCTGAGGGGGCAATCGCGAGCATAAAAATTCAAAACTCCATAAAGTCCCTTTAAGGATTAATGCATCAAATATGTTGAAACTGATTGTGTTGCAGCCTTTAACACACAAGTTACTTGTAAATATTTAATTGCTTGTCTGGTTTTACCGTAGGGTGGATTTGATGAGAGGGAGTTGAGACGGTTTTTAAAAGCTGAAAGTTTTTATTGGTGGAATGAACCTTGAGCGTGTCTAAGTATAAAACTACCAAGAAGAAGATTGTTTTACAAAACAGGAACACAAGTTTTCTACAGAATGTCATACGTTTTCTGTGGCCATATAGTTTTAAAAGTTACCTTTGATGGTGTGTGTGTGTTCATGTTTCTGTTTGCTGTGTGCATCTTTGCGTAAACATCCCCTGCCTGCCTTATCTTCTTCAGTGTGTTCTGAAGCACATATTTAAAGGCTACCTGTTTTAGTTAAACACAAGTCTGCATATCATCGTGTGTGGGTGACGCTTGACTGACTGTAGCTAATTCTGTAGGTAATGTTGTGGCTCGAGGCTCTGAGCGCTCTCCAGACGCCCTCACGGTCAGCAGAGACAGTTGCTGCCTAGCTTTTGTCGGTCCCTCTGAGTACATCATCACCATCGCTGATGCGTGGTCTCTAGATGAGGTTGTTACCTTTCAACACAGTTTTATTTGTTGCTCTTGATTAATTAACTAACATGAACTCTGTCCTGTGACTCCTTTGTCTAGTTGCTTCACGTAGATGTGAGTATTTTGGATGCAGAGAGCTCCCAGTTGGACTCTGCTCTGAAGGTCTGCTTCTCTCCGGTCTTCACTGAACACTTACTGATCGCAACGTCTGCTAACAAGGTCCTCTGGGTCAGCACAAAGACGGGTCGTCTGCTCCGAGAGGTAACAGTTAGCTTTAACATATCAGCTGATCCAGTTAAAGCAGAAAGCTGGAGTTTTTTTCTCAGAGGGCATCCAGTGCTCCTCTTCCTACTTTCATGATTACGGCTGGAAATAACTGTTCTCATTCATGAACGAGGAGCGCTAGCCGGGCACAGAGCTAAAACACATTGTTTTATGATTATTCTTCTCATCTTATGTTGTCACACAATGGACAAACGTGCACGCTATGTGATTGACCAGTAGAGGTGCTGAAAAAAATCGATTCAAGTCTGAATCGGAATTCTTATTTATAAAGATTCAGAATCGATTCCAAGAACTCAAATATTTGGCATGTTACAGGTTTGAGAAGCACTTTTTTGATCTTTGTTAAGAAAGTCAGTACTCCGTTTACTTTTGTGGTCCCATAAATTGAGATGATTTATGTTTGAATCTGCTGATAAGAGGACACTTGAATGTAATTTTTTCCATACTCAGAAATTTGAGAAATTCTCATTTTTATTTTCTAAGTTGATAAATGAGTACTCAGGATTACTCATGTAACTTGTTTCTACACATACTTGAAAAGTATTTGACCATATTACTTTCAAAGCTACTGTTAGGTAACTACAGATTTGTTATATTTTACAAGGTAAGCAAAAATAAATGTTGCCTTTTGGTCAAAAGATTGCTTCTGTTTACAGTTTTAGAATCACTTTATTTTACCTTGTAAATTTGCATTTTTGGAGCATGACCAGTTTAAAGTCAAATAAAAATGTCCCATAGCTTTAACTAACTTGTACAACAAAGTAGTTCATCCTGGAGCTGACACTCTTTGTTAATACTGATTGTGAATCGATTTAAATTGAGAATCGAGAATCGATTCTGAATCGAATCGGCACCCCAAGAATCGGAATTGAATCAAATCATGAGTTGCTCTAAGATTCACATCCCTATTGACAAGTTCAATGTCTAACGCTGTTGGATAATGCTCAGATTGCATGGAGCTCTACGAGACAGGGGGCAGGCTTAGAAAAAAAAACATATTGTCTACATTTTATCGCAGAATAGGGTAAGATTATTACTATTACAGATTTCTAAAAAGTCATAATTAATTCCTGGGGTGAGGGGGAAAACTCCGGATTGCTGCTTTAGATTTAAACATTTTTATTCCTTCTTGTTGCCCGGGTCCAAGTATCAGTTTGTAAATCATAATTAGAGGGGTTGGAAAACATGAAAACTTGTTTTATAGAGCTCCGGACCCCACGTGACTCTCAGTTAGTGGACGCCATTTTGGCATGCAAAAAAGGTAAACAAACACGGATGTAACCATGAACATGAACGGGATCCGCTTGGATTTTACTTCGTCGGAGTTTACTTCACACTTTAAAACAGAAGAAATCGTTTTATATAGTCAGAAATTAAATAGACTAAACATCTCCGACCCTTACCGTGCCCCTGGGATACTTTTTAAAAACGCCAGAAGCTGTCTGAGCAGACTTCTTACCGGCACAACACCTGACCTGACCGGGGAACCCCTTGGGATTTACCCGGAGGAGCTGGCTCCGGCGGCTGGGGAGAGGGAAGTCACGCTACTGCCCCCGCAACCCGACTCCGGATACGCGGATGAAAATGGATGGATGGACGGACAAATAACAGATTTACACGTAAGTAGTCTCGGTGAGACAGATAATAGCAATCCAAAGTGCTTTTTATGTGTGATCTGACAATTGATCAACCATTGCTTAAAAATTAAATACAGCTTAGCCGGTTAATTGCTGTCATCATAAAACACGGAAACGGCAGCACGCAGAACTCACGAGGCAACGTTTTACGTGATGTTTACTTGCTGCTATGAGTAATAAGACAGAAAAAGCCACGCCAAAATAAGTTTAGGAAGCCCACTAAGAATCGTAATAAAAGCATTTAAAATAAATACCATACACAGTTGAGGAAACGTTGGTTTAAGTACCTGATATGAAGCGGTCGCTGCATAAGCGAAAACCTTTACTCTCGGGATCCCACAGCTTCATTTTAGCCCGGTCACTAGCGCGTTTTATTACAATGATCCAACGTTTGCGGCGCTCCGGATCTTGGGGAATCCTGTAGATGGCTCATCCCTTATGTCGTCCACGTCTGTTCTGCATCCTGGGGCACAACAGGAATCTACCATATTTCTCGTTTTATTGAGTTTTCTGACAATAACAAATAGTCCAGCTGCCGGCTTCTGCATGCCAATATGGCGCCGTTTCCATTTGAACTGTTGCATGCCGGGAGAAGTGACGTCAACTCCCGGAGCTCTATTGATGAGCTGGAAATTTTTTTTAAAGAATTAAATCTGAAACCCGTTTGGATTTCTATTTCACTGATGCCAATTTAAAGGAAATTGTTTTCACTCGTCAACTCCAATATTGTCAGTAATCAATTTCCCTATTCTGGGATGAATAAACTACATCCAACCAAATACCAATAGATGTCAAATGTATTGGCTGCCAACCAAAAAGTACCACAGTTGTACTTTTTTATTCTTTATTACAGATCTGAATAATTAAACTGAAGACACCAAGTGTTGCACTTTTACAAACATTAATCTTTTTCTTCTGTCTGAGGACATAAATCAAAGACCATACGGTGCCTTTTAAAACAGGTTTTCTACAGAACATGTAATTAACCTTCATCTATTCACACAAACATCTATAGTGTTCCCATTTTTACCTTTATGTATACAGGATCAATCTCATTGAGAAATAAAGCCCCATGTTTAATAGACGTCTGCTCCAACAGTATATAAAATCCTAACAAGTTACATGAAAAACAACAGTACAAATACATAATGTACAGTGTCCAAAATGTGAAAAATAAATGGTTGCTATCACAAATTTGGAAAACAAATGAGCTTAGAACGTTTTTCATGCCTCTTAACAACATTCTAACATAGTACAGCCATAAATATATTGTGGAGATTAAAAAAATCTATAAATGTATAATGAAGTGATTCTCTCACGTTTGTCTATAAACCTCCTCCAATAACACGTTTCAGACCGAAAGCAACTATTGGACCATCTGGTTGTCTGGCTCCATTTGAAGTTACGGACAACAAAATACTTTTGTACCTAGAATATACCAGCTGGTGTTTAGCACTATGTCATTTACTCTGGCATCACGGTTTCCGGTTCCAGCAGAAGCATCTCACGGAAGATACCCGAGGGGAGGTGGATGTTCCGTGTTTGCGTTCAAAACCCAGCTTGTTTGCAGATTTGTAGTAACAGCTTTAAGAGCAGAAGCATGAGCCTACTGGCAGTTTATATATATATATATATATATATATATATATCTATCTATATCTATATCTATATATATATATATATATATATATATATATATATATATATATATATATATATAACTGACCTGAATGTTAAATTAATTCAATGGAATCAGATACGAGAGTAGGGCTGAACTATAATTCAATAGTTCAATACATCTATAGATAAACATGTGTTTCGATAGGAAAATAATGGGTCAATAAATCTTCAGGGGAAAAAGTTTCCTTTATTCATTATAACCTATCAGGTAGCAGCATACTAGACTCACTACTTACGCCTAACCAATCAAAACCACAGACTCGGGCACGCTACATCACCAGGCCCTCCCCACTCAAGTCAAAACAGAGCATGAGGCAGCAAGATGTCGCAGCAAGAAGAGGCGGAGAAAATTTTTATTGAATTCAAACAAAAACAGGACCTGTTTCTATTTAAAAAAACACAATGTTAGACTATTCTTTCAAAATATTCTCAACATGAGCTTTAAAAAGATGATTCCATCCATCACAATGGAGGAACCACTGAAGGATAAATGCAGGGTAGGACGGCAGGCTCTTTAGCCTTAGTTTGTCTGCATTCAACTCCAGTCTGGGTTGTATTGTATGTTTATCCCTCATTATAAATCTGTAAGTGCATGGGAGGCAAGCGGAGGGACTTTTCTTATAGAAATATAGAGCTGAGAACTTCTGAACTCTAGTACCTACTGCTGCTCAACGTGTACACATGTCTCTTAGTTAGAGCTTCCAATGCATTGTGTTGGTTGAGATTTGGATTTTAATGAAACTTTCTGAGTGTCATCATTACATGTACAACTCTAACTGGTGTGTTTGGATGGCATATAGGATGATTAATAAAAAGGCTTTTGGACATGACCTTTATCAAGGTGGCTACCAACTGACCTTATAAATACTGAAATTACTGATTCTGCCAGTTTTGTTTGTCACAACAGATAATGCTGCATGCTAACAGTTAACCCCGTTGTTTCTCGGTATAAAAGGATCTTAGATAAAAGGTCCACATGAAAGGTGGGCATGCTCTGCATTTAGACTTTGGCCTTTGGCCTTTTCTTTTGTGTTTTTTCATGAAACGTCCATCTTTTTTTGCATAACTTGTTAATATTGTGTCACTGTTTTTGGTAAGTCATAAATGGTCACCTGTGAATGTGGATTCATGGTAAATTAGGTTAAAATCATTCTAAGAAGTCTTGACTTGCACGACATCACGTTGAACCACATAGATCTAAGACTATCGAGAACTCGTCTGTAAACAGAAACAGTAGCAGGAGATCTATACACCATGTTTATACTCACCTGTATCATCGTTTCCCTGCCACACACAGGTGTCTGCTTCTTCTCACTTGGCTTTTTGTCTCTACAGGCGTCCAAGGTGCACAAACACCTGTGCTCGTCCTTGGCTGTGAGTGAAGATGGTCGATTTCTGCTCACAGCTGGGCACAACGCCATCAAAGTGTGGGATTACAACATGCAATATCATCATAACTCACAGGTAGTCCGCAAATCAAAGACGTATAAGAATTCTTTAGCAGCAAGGATGGGTAGAACCGTTCCTGCTGCTGTAATGACTTCAACTGGTTTACTCTCTAGCAGCGGAACATTCATGTTTGGTGAATAAATGACATTATTGATACTGATGAGTTAGACTGTAACAGAAGGGTGTTGTTTTTTCTTAACTGGAGCCTGTCTCTTGGTACCAGATGTATATCGGACACAGTCGGCCCATTCACCAGCTCAGCTTCACTCCCGACCAGTTAGGGGTCATCTCAGTGGGGGACGCCATATTCATTTGGGACTTCCTGGGAAATCCTGCAGATCAATCGGCCAACAATTGGTAACAAATATCTACAAACTTCATCCATCTGTTCATTTTAATAAAGTTTATTATCTCATTTTTAGCTTGTTGTTTTTACAGCTCTCTTCTAAATTTAAGCAACGCCTATTCTCTGAAAGCAGGTACCACATTTAAGTGGGTTAATGTTGCTAAAATAACATTAAGTGTGTTCTAATGTAGTCTGAATTTATACCTTCTGACCTTTCTACTTGAAGGGGAAGTCAAAGAAGTGCAGCTGTCCAATGGGATTCCTCGTCAGACAGCGCCGCTCCCCTCCTCGCAGCCTCAGCTGGATGTCAGCCCCTTGGACCACGTGGTCCAGAGTGGTGCGTTTTCTTACTTTCTCCACATAGTTTAGGTTGATTTGTTACTCAGTTGTGAGTGACTAATTAATGGGTGTGAGGTTTAGAATGTATCTCCATGAATCAGCTCATTTATAATTTAATAAGGAATGGCCTGATTAGTTAATTTATGTAGAACATCAGCACATTTGTATGCTTCACTGTGTGCTTTTTAAAATGGATCTGTTTAGGGAAAGCTACATGTATTTAGCATGCTTATTCCTCACATTCAAGTGTCTGCACGTTCATGATGTACAGATGAATGTACAATCTGAATATGGTGGTTGTGTTTATTTTGTTTTACAAATGAAGACATGCCTGATTATCTCACACAAAGAGATGACACAAAATAAACCAGTTTAGCTGGAGAAAGCCAAACAAACCCCCCTCAGACTGAGTCATTACTAGTGTATTAAAGTCCCATTCCACAACTATTACACCTTAAATCATTTTTTTTCTTGTGGGTTTTGGCGACATACCATTAATTATGTTCATTTTCTGAGCTGCGATAGTGTTGTGGGATTCCACGTCTGTTTACCGCACTCTACAGTTTTTGACACGCGGTCTGCCGCCAGAAGTACTGACTGTGTGTTGCTTTATGGCAGTGTCACGTAGATGTAGATCCCTTAGACATGAATACATAAATGCCTTATCGTGTGCTGGATAGTGTAACAGGGTCACCGCCATATTGGATGGGTCTCCAAAGCAGTGACTGTAGAAAAGTCCAAAGTCAGTGCAGAGTGAGCAACTTGTGTCTGATTTTGTGAAAAAGCTTGATGAAATGTGTTTTTTAGTTGGGTGGCACCTTCTTTAGTAGAAATGAATGCACTGTGGGCCAATGGAGACCCATCTAAAATGGCGACCGACCACCACCGCAGCCTCAGCCCACGGGGCGTCTACGTAAATATGTCTGTGGTAGACCCGTAGTTGAGAGACTTGAGCTAGACTCAATGCAAGTACCTTCCTTTTACTTACATAGTTTTATTACCATTTAGTTCAGCATAAGGTGACTTGGAGCACAGTTGTTGAGTGGGCTGGCTCACAGTGTGTTGGAGTCCTTCAGGTCCTTTCTTCAGTTTAGTAGTAGCGGCAGTTGGCCACACAGGTGCCTTAGTCTTTTTTTATTTATTCATTTTATTATCTGCTTTTAAAAGTAATTTCGCCTGATATAGAAAAAACTGAATATATCGGTCAGCCTCTAATGGAGACGAGACAAACCAATCACAATATTAAAAGCCTGATAATGTTTACTGTTTTTAGGACTGAATTTATTTGGAGAAGTCGGGCCAGATGCTTCCAAACACATCCAGTGTTATCGCCAGATCTCGTTGTTCAGTCAGAATGAAGGTGGTGAAATCTGCGGCCACCTAGCAGTTGGAGTTTGTTGATTCAATATCATAATAAAATACAGAATATTTCAGTGTATTTATATTTACATACTTACTAATAATTCTGCTAAGTAACAGTTAAAGTACTACCAGCTTGTCAAAATCTAAAGATGCTTACGGTCCAAAAACTAATGTCTGCAGCAGAAACTGTGGGGGAAATGTCCAGGAAGCATCGTTTTTATAAATGTCTAGTTTGGTTATTAACTTATTTAAATCATTTTTCATTTAGAGACAAAACAAATCATACAGTTTTTAAGATTAATAGTTGGGGGACATCTTCTTTTCAGATCCCCGGTTAGGAGTAAATGTCTCTGCTTTGATAACCTTCCCAGGAGCTTTGTTATATTTGTACTACACTGATGGACGGCAGCATGCTGGATGAGCTGTGGGTCCACTTTAGGAGACAGAATTTTACGAATGTAATTTGTTTTCAGACCCTGATCAGTCAGAAGTAAACAATGACACCTGAGCTGGAAGCACTGTTTTGTGGTCTAATGGAATGAAATGTCAGTAGCTCTTATGTTGATATGTCAGTTTTAATACAAACTGAATCAGTATTTGGTTCTTCTTCTGTTGTTGAAACATTGATGCTTTTAAAGGAAGCCATGTTTTTTCCCATTGATTAACTGACATAACGTTTCTGGCACCAATTGACTGGATCCATATTTTCTTACATCTCCCTCAGGTTTGGGTTGTTTGTCTGTTTCTGAAGACGTCCCGACAAACCCAACAATTCCAGGTCATGGCTCTAGTCCAGGTCCAGCTGCTGATCCCAGATCTGCTGTTTCCGTTCTCAAAGTCACAGTCCTGGAGAACCCGTCTTCTCTGAATCCAAAACATGCAGAATCCAGTAAAAAACCACTGCTGTTATTGGGCAGACCTTCTGTTACTGAATGTTTTACAGAAGGAAACATTCCTGGTTTTATTTAAGTTTTTCGTTTGTTCTCCAGTTGAGTTGAACGAGAACTCACCCGAGCGTCCAGATTGCTACAAGCACTTCATCCCACGTTTCAAGACTTCTTCCATTTATCAGGTAAAAAGCATATATCTATGGAGTGTGTGTGTGTGTGTTTGTTTGTTTGTTTGTGTGTTTGTGTTTCTGAAGGTGTTTTTCATTGCTGACCCAGAGCATTGCAACTCCCCAACCACCAGCAGAAGGCATGAAGCTGAAGGCAGTAATTGGATACAACGGGAACGGCCGGGGCAACATGGTGTGGAGCCCTGATCAAGGTCAGCGTGATAAAGAAATGTTAAAGAAGTATGATGTTAGGAATAATATTTCAAACATGGTGCATAGTTGTTGAAGTAATTGACTCGAACAGTGTTTACTTTTTTGTGTCATTGTTTTTTTTATTCCTTTAACCCTTTAAGACCGGCGGGAGCGCCGGCGCTCCCATTTGCATATCTGTGTTCAAATGCTTGTAAAACTGAAACTATATAAGATAGAACAAAAAAAGAGGATTTACACTTATATCTCACACCGTGAGCAAGTCCCAGAGAGCTGCGTATTTCCGCTAATTTGTTTGCAAAAAGCAACCAAAATGTGCAAATTACAAAAGCGTTTCATTCAGACACAGACGCTGTTTCGTTCTGATCTGCAGCTCACAGGGCTTCACACGCTAGAATAAACGTCCTCACGTTGTCAACGTGAACTGTCACATGATTATCACTCACCCAATCACCTGCTTTGACGTCATTTCCCCGCGAATCGTAGTTTTATTTGTATTCCCAGTCTTTCGGCTTTTTCTTGTGCTTTTTTGCAATAATACTTTTAGACACACACATCACATACCCTCTACAAACTCCCGACACACTCACACACCACTACGAACGTTTTGATGAATCGCGGACCCGCTAAACGGTACACCCTCCTTGAAGCGGTTGACGCCATTACAGCGCCGGATGAGGATGGAGTTTCTGTTTCCTCATCCGCCCCGGATTCTGCCCCAGCAAAACCTCTCCGTGGATGAGCGTATGGTTGCCACCAAAGCCAGGATTGCCATGAAGCAGTACATCAAAAATAAGCCAACAAAATGGGGTATAAAACGTTTTGTTCTTTCTGACAAGACAGGCTACACTGTTGACTTCAACATCTACACAGGGAGGTCCTCTCTGAATAGTGGGAAAGGGCTGTCATTTGATGCTGTGATGTCACTCATCAACAAACCCTCTCTGGGATCTGGATATCACATTTACTGTGATAACTTTTACACCAGCCCAGCTCTGTTCCGCCACCTTTATGACGTGGGGTTTGGAGCCTGTGGGACATTTCGGGACACAAGAATTGGCATTCCAAAAACTAAAATGAATGCACTAACAAACAAATCGCCACGAGGCTTAATCAGGTGGATCAGAGAGGGAGCTCTCATTTTTATAAAATGGATGGACACAAGGGAGGTGAGTGTGTGCTCCACTCTGCACACCGCCTTCTCAGGGGACACAGTAAAAAGGTCTTCCAAGGTCGGGGGGAAACACACCGCAGTAGAGGTACCAGTACCACCTGCTGTGAAAGACTACAACTGCTTCATGGGGGAGTTGACCTGTCAGACCAGCTGATTGGCCCCTACTCCTCATGGAGAAAGAGCAAAAAGTGGTATGTGACGATGCTGCATCACTTCATCGACATTGCTGCAACAAACAGCTATTTACTCAGCTAAGAGCTGAGTGTCAGACTGCAGCAGCCGCCGCAGACACACCAGGCCTTCCAGGAGCAGCTGATAGCTGAGCTCTGTGGAGTTCCCTCCCAACCAGTCCAGGAAAAGTATCAGCACATCCCTGTTGCCATTGTTGAGGGGACATCTGGCCACAAAAAAGCCACACTGGGGCGCAGGAAGTGCAGGGTGTGGGGGAAGTGTAAATTTGTTGTTGTTTGAAAGGATTATGTGCAACTTATTTCATTGACAATTTTGAGGGATAAAGGTGTGGCAATTCTGTATAACAAAAACGATTTTCAATTTCTGAATGGATACTTGCATTTTTTAGTAAATAATTTAGTTGCTATGAACATTTTACATATATATTATTAAAATTTAGAATATAAGGGTTGCATTGATAATAGCTAGTTGAAATACTCCAAAAAATGGCACCACAGTGTAGATATAAGTTCTGACGAACTTGTTCTATGGCAGGTCTTAAAGGGTTAAAGTTTTAGATATAAACTAGAACTTTAACTGTAAAGTAAAAACACCGACGTCTGGCTAAAGCTAAACTGAACAGTGATGGGATGTTTTTGCTCTTTAGAAGTGTTTCTGTCTCATCTCACTTCCCTTCAGAGGTATGTTCTGTCTTTTGCTTTAAAATGATCTCCTGTTGCAGGCCTGTTTGCCTACTCCTGTGGCTGTGTGGTGGTGGTGGAGTACCTTCACACAGGAAGTCAGAGACACCTGCAGGGCCACAGCGAGGAGATCTCTTGTCTTGCACTCACAAACGATGGACAGGTACATTTTCAGATCTTTGTTCATAAATATGATATAAAATCCTCCATTGTGTAGAGTAGTGTACCCTTACTCGAATATGGCATTTTGTGTGTGTGTGTGTGTGTGTGTGTGTGTGCGTGCGCGTGCGTGCGTGCGTGCGTGTGTTGTTTAACCTGTTATCCAGACCATGACATCAGCAGCTAGCAGCAGCAGCGGCGGCAGGAGTCTCATCTACATCTGGGATGTTCAGAGTGGAGCGCGTCGCAGTATTATCTCATACCACAAGGGAGCGGTGCAAAGTCTTGCTTTCTCCAGGGATGACCTCCTATTTCTTTCTGTTGGTAAAAATTAATCTTTGTCAGCATTAAATATTTTATACAAATTATTAAAGTGCAAGAAATACTTGATCTGCACTGGATCAACGTACCTGCTGGTCATTATTCTTTATTGTTGCTGTTGGATCACCTAGGAGATTTCACTGACCCGGGTTTGGCGCTGTGGAGTAGTAAAGATTTCCAGTTGGTGTGCAGTGTGAGCATGTCGGGACCGATCCATGACGCCGCCTTCAGCCCCTCAGCAGCTAGTCACATGGCCTGTGTGGGCAGCCAGGGGGTCCACTTCTGCCTCATCCAGTCACAGGGCCACAATGTAGACCTGAATGTAAATGTTGCTGATGGGAAATCTAAGTTTCACTGAAATGTTTGGGGTTTTTCAAGCCTTTTAAAATTAAACAATCTTTTACTCGAACATACTTGATTGCATAAGATCTGGTTTTTTTTTTTTTTTACCCACTCAGGTCAAAAGTGTGGCAGCACCTGCAGAAGTGGGTGATGTGGAGCTGACAGCTCTCTGCTATCACATGGATTCCTTCTTGTTCACGAGCACAAACAAGGGTCAGGTCTGTGCATGGGACATCACCACTCTGAGCTGCCTTATGGTCTGGGAAGCTGATGATGGAGAAATAGGTACTCTCTTGGAGGTAGCGTTGTCCAAATTAGTAGAACCCTTGTGCGGTTTGATTTGGTCCCTGTGGACCCACTTATAGACGGGTTCCTTGTTTGTTTGGGTAATCTTGATCTGATACACGACCGGAGAGAGCTTAGCAGTTATCAGGTATGGGCCTGACCACTTCGACAAAAGTTTCTTAGCCAGCTTACCAGAGGTGTTCTTTGTGTTACCAGTTTTAGGAGCGAAAATTTAGAACCAGGCCTCATCACCTACGTTGAGTTCAGAATGTGAGGCCTTCTGATCATAATAAAGCCTTCCTGCCCTCAGCTGATTTCTCCAGATTTGTCTGTGCAAACAAAAACGCTGCAGGCAGATGGTTCTTCAGGTCCTGCAAATATTGTTCGCTCGTGTAAGCCGGGTCGGCCTCGGACTGAGCTGGCTGGTACAGCAGATGAAGCAGTAGGGTCATCTGTCTACCCGTTTTCATTTCAAACGGGGAGACGCCTGTAGACTCATGAGGGGTGGCCCGTATGGCCATGAGGACCAACAGAAGCTTCACATCCCAGTCTCGGTGATTAGAGCACACATACTTCCTCGACATGCTGATAACCATCCGGTTCATCCTTTCGACCTGGCCAGAAGACTGGGAGCGATGGCTAATGTGGAAATTGTCCTTCACGCCCAACAGTTTCCAAAGATGTTCCATCACTTCAGAGGTGAAGTGAGCACCTCGTCCGAGTCAACTCGGGTGGGAAGACTGAACCAGGTGAAGATGTGATTCATCAAGAGAATAGCTGTTGTTTGTGCCGTGTCATTAGGTGCTGGTAAACATTCAACACACTTGGCAAATGCACAGGTCATGGTCAAGAAGTATTTATTACCCCTGCTGGACTTAGTCAGAGGCCCCACCCAGTCGAATTGCAAGTCCAACCACAGTGTGGATGGTCCCTTTCTCTGTAGGGGAGCTCTGTGTGCGGGGTTGGATGGCTGAAACTGACAACAAACCAAACAACGCTGGACGTGGTCAGAGATGTCGCGACGCATCCCCAGCCAATAAGCAACCTGGCTCAGGGCACCGAACGTGGCCTTGACACCTTTGTGTCCGGCGGAGGGAGCGTCATGAGCTTGCGTGATCATGCCCCCCCCCCCTTAGTGACTGGCGCCACGAGGACAGGCGGCAAAGGAGGCTTGGAGGCGTGCATCAGCAACCCTTCAACCATTCTCAGCGTGACACGAACACGAAAGAGAGCATGGAGCTCAGGAACGGAGTCAAGCTTGACGGAAGAAGGCAGATGAGTTGTAGGATCAGAAAGGTACAGGATCATCCTGCTTATAGCAGGGTCCTAGAACTGAAGACTGACAAGATCGTTACCAGAAAAGACAGGTTGAACGGACACAACACCCTCAGATGGTTCGGAGGTGGATGCGTTAGCGGCCTGAGCTCGAGTCACGACACTCACACGGGGTGGGTCAGACCGAGAAGACACCTCCTCAGGGAGCCACAAGGGGTTGAAGACCCATGGAGTACCATCGGCCGCACCTGTTTTGGCAAGAGAGTCTTCAAGGTCGTTCAGATCCTTGTCAGTTCCGGGTGCACGAGAATGTCCTTTGACTTTACGCCAATAGATGTGCAAGTCATGTGACGTCACTAGGGCGTCACAAGCCATGAAGTGGTCCTGATGTTTTAACGGGCTTCCGGTTAGAGGTTAGGAACCCGTTACTCTTCCAAGAAGGTAGATGACAAATGAAACTGAGACGCGTGTAGTCCGAGTCAGTGCAAATCACAAGCTCATGGGCTCCACGGTCCACAGCAAGTTGTAGTACTATCAAGATCCCAGCCACTTCTGCAAACTGTGAGGTCCTAGGGCCCAACCAATAACATCAGGAGTCTTTCTGGTCAGCATTCAACCAGACGACACCCACGCCTGACCTAGGCGCAGCACCGTGTCGAAAAGAACTGCCATCGACGTAAACGGTCAGCAAGTCCACACAGAGAGACTGATCGAAGTTGTGGTGGTTGGGCTTTAGAAGAGTCTGAGGAGGGCTAGCTGGCAGGACTGACGTGACAGCTTCGTCCGAGCAGTGTTGGCACGCAGCCAAACCCATGCCAAGAGGGCTACGTCGTTCTGGGCGTAGCGTACTTCGATTTCGAAGCGTTGAAGAGCCTGCACCCATGACGCGATTCGCTCATTGGTCACCACACCATCTCTGATGTGCTGACTGTTAAGGAAGGTCACTGGCTGGTGCTGAGTTTCAATGATGATTTTCTGTCCACCGATGTAGCTAGAAAAGTGTTTAACCGCCCACCTGGTGGAAAGCAAAGCTTTTTCACAGCCAGAGTACTTTAACTCAGGACCAGACAAGAGCTTACTAGCATAGGCTACAACACGCCTGTCGCAGTCATATACTTGGTAGAGACCGGCACTCAAACAGTGAGATGAAAAACCGACCTCAAGGTGGAACTCCTTGTCATAATGGGGGAGCGCCAAGCACGGAGCTGAGCATAATGCGGCCTTCAGGTCATCCGTGGCCTGTTGCTGCTGCTCAGTCCACTCGAAAGGCACACCCTCCTTCAGTAGGTTAGTCAGAGGTCTCGCTATCTCAGCGTAATGTTCTACGAACTGGCGCGAGTAGTTGCACACCCCTAAGAAGCTCCGAAGTTCGGAGACATTCGTAGGAGGTGTGGTGGTGGCCACACCTTGAATTCTGCTAAGTTGAGGCTGCATTCCCTGCGGTCCCACAAGGAGGCCAACAAACTGAACCTTTGACCTGCACCACTGACCTTTGGCGAGAGAAATCTTTGCACCAGCAGCTGCGAGCTGACCCATGACGTGGTCCACCTCGGACAGGTGGTCATCCAAGGTACGCTTATGAACAAGAATGTCGTCGACATAGATGAGGGTACCTCGCTCTCGAGCATCAGGACAGGCTTCTGATCATAACATTGTCATTTCACAGATTGGTTCACATTTTATTATTGGACTAACACTTTATTAGCTTTATTAAAAATAAAGTTCTTCTGATTTATTAAAAGAAAGAGTCCTTTGTCTTCATTCTTCTCTTGAGCTGTAAAGGAAGAAACAGTTTAGAAGCAGATGCATGAGACCTTGGGCAATATCTCATGCAGATTAGGTTTGTGTCAGAAACTTCTGGTTTTGCTTTGAGCAGAGCAAAACAGAGCAGGGCCTTTTAGGTCAGAAATGGGCAATTCATCACGCTGCAATATATATGATATTACCAACATTCTGAAGGAATTTATAGGTTCTCACGTGGTTTATTTTGACTGTGTGCAGGAGTGCTGCTGTGTCGAGGAAATCGTTTGCTGACGGGCAGCAAGGCCCACCGGCTACGGCTGTGGGACGTAGAGGCCTTACAGGGCTCAGAGACCAAGGGAAACATCTGTAGTGTCGACCGGTATGAAACCAGGTTTGCTGTGGTTTAACCAGCATGGAGGTTTTTTAATCTTGATAAATAATTTTGTGTTTTACCGTTGTCTGGGATTTGGAGTTCTACTAAAGCTTAATCAGCTGCTCTATAACAGATATTACTGACTGCATTGGGACATTATTTAGTCAAACTGGTTCCTTCAGTAGTTTGTTGTGTGTGTTATTTTAGACAGCTGGGCTTTGATGGTTGTATGGTGATCTTGACTCTCTCTTGTAGTGGGACTAAGATGGTGGTGGAGCAGGAGCTAACGCTAGATGGGATGCTGGTCAGTGCAGCGTTTGATATCTCCATGGAGATGGGCATTGTTGGTACCACAGCAGGAACACTCTGGTACATCAACTGGTCTGACAACAGCAACATCCGTCTGGTCAGTGGTCACCAGAACAAGGTGACCCATCTTTATAGCACACCTGTGTTTTGGTAAAGGTCTAAACAAAGAGGATTTAATCCGCGCTACTGCCTTTTTCTGTCCTTCAGGTCAACGATGTTGTTTTCAGCTTTGATGAGAGCCACTTTGCCACCTGCAGCGAGGACGGCAGCGTGAGGGTGTGGTTGACCTCCAGCTACGAGCTGGTGGTGCAGTTCCAGGTGCTCAACCAGGTGAGGGAACTCGTCAAAGACCTTATCTTTGATCACCAGGAAAACCTATTGAGGATGTTACTGACAGAAACATGAGGTGTGTGCAGCTGTAGAGGTGTTTTGAGTGTTTAAGGGTTTTCTCTGTCTTGTTGAGGCCTGTGGCTGTGTGTGCTGGAGCCCTTCTAGCAAAAACAGCTCGTGTCTGGCAGCAGGATACAGCGACGGGACCGTGAGGATTTTCCGTCTTGCTTCGACGGAGATGGAAAGAAAGCTACACCCTCTTCACGTGGCTGTCACTGCTATCCAGTACTCTGCTAGTGGTAAGGAAGTAGACACAGTGCTGCTGTGCTTCTTTTGGGTCATCATATTTGTCTGTCTCCATCTACTGTGAAGACCCAGTGCAAACAGCCGTAAAGGAAAACTTCATTGCTGCTGTTTTTGTCACCATACAGGCGATGTGATCATTTCAGCAGGAGAGAACGGCCTGGTGGCTGTGAGCAGCTCGCTAGACGGAGCAACAGTTCATGTCATCAGAGACCATAAAGGATCCATTGTTTCCTCGATCCAGTGTGTGAATAAACAGGTCAGCCGCTGGAGCCAGGACAAAACGGTAGGCTTCAAACGAGAGCAGCAAAGCAGCAGAAACAGAAATATTATCACATAATGTTCTACTTTAGTCTTTTATTCTTGGATATTTAATGTCTGTCAGTTTAAATTACAGCCTAGCCCTTCTTCTCTTCTTCTCATTTACTAGTGTCTAAAATCATTTTATAGCATTTCACAAGGTATTTAGGATTATCATCAATATTATCATTATTATTCTAAGCCAGATTTTATCCCCTTCACCTTTCCACGCTTGGACAGGGAGGAGGTGAAACGTGGTTGGCCGTGAGTGCCGACAGACGAGTCAGTGTGTGGGCCTCTGATTGGTCGAAGGAGAAATGTGAGCTACTGGACTGGCTGTCATTTCCTGCTCCAGCAAACTTTAAGGTAGTATTTTTATTGTAAAAAGTCAACTTCAATGAGAAAATATTTCTTTGTGATTGTTTCTGATTATAATTAGTCACTCTGAGTTTTTCATGCAGACTGAACATCAGGATAGTCTCCTACATCTATCTCCTGCATTAGCTTCTAATAGAAAATAGACGGTGAAACTCTAGAATTAGAAAATACTGACAGATCTACGTCACACTGTCACTTAACATTCATGGACTCACCCATCTTGTCTCGCGACAGGGAAGGCTGTTGTTGGTTTAGGGTCCAGAAAATGGCAGAGAACGTCTCGGCCAGTAGAAGCTAACCGTTATCATTAGCAACTCCACCACACAGCGTAACTCCTTCAGGCTTGTGCTATTTGTGGAGGAAAAACATCAGTAGCTGCGTTTACATGTGCCAAATTTTCTCAATCCGATTGAAATCTTGGTTGATCGGAATTTCCGAATCTCTGTTCACATGGACACGAACTGAAATGATCCGATCATGCCGTGCGAATATATGCACCAAGCATTTAATACGATTAAATAGGTTGAGCATGCGCAGAGTTGCCTTTCCCGAAAGAAAAATTGTAAACAAACGCCATGAAACGAAAAGAAAAATGTAAAAACAGAAATAACTATTCTTCCTGCGTTCCTGATCCATTTATTCAATTTAATATTTTTAATTAGCTCATAGAAGTTACGTTTTCTTCAGTGAATAACTGCAGATATATGCTTTGCTGCATTTTATTGTTGATTAAAATAAGGGAGGGTTATGTCTCTGCCTCTTGATCAGCTGGTCCGTGGGTCTGAAGTGACAGCTGTGCTGTTGCGCTGTGGCACAGAGCTCTGTTGTGGCTTATTATTAATAACATGTGACGATCAGCTGAAACTGTTGAGAAAATCTGTTCAAACAAAATAACAGAAGATGTTCAGAAAGTTTAGAAGCCTGTGTTCATCATTAACGAACCGCATCTCAGGTCATCTGCGTTTACGTGCTTCTAACACGGACTTTACTGTCGTCCAGAGTATTTAACCGAGGATGTTTTCCTACCCAACATCAGCCTCCAATCAGGTCTGTAAAACCCATATTATCCTGTGTTCTTTACAAGCGCGTCTCCATCACCTGCTGCACAAGCTGCTGCGTTCAAAGCTGACAGAAACGGGGATCTGTGCGCTGCAACCCCTGCAATAAACCTGCGTATTTCCAGTACACATTTGAACTTGTTTGTCGAATGATTTGTGCAATAATCAGATTTTTTTTTACTTCCACAAAATGCAAGTTCTGAGTTAAATATTACTGAAACGGGGACGGCTTGTCGTCGGATTTAAAAGCCGCCGCTTGTTAATTACGCCGTCATTTTTGAAGTCAGGCAGTCCAAATGACAGCGGAGGGGCCCGCTCGCTGGTGCACACATGCACAGTGGGCATTATTTTACCCCAACAATCCGAATGGCTGTGTACATGCACGTCAGTCGGAATGATGAACGGAATAAACCACCGCTCTCAGTCGGATTGAAATTTCAATCCGATCGGCCAAATCGGATCAGAATATTCCGATTGACATGTTTACATGCAGAATTTTCGATCTGATTGGGCAATTCAATCTGATTAAATATGCGCATGTAAACGTGGCTAGTGTTGCAGAACAGAGTCATGTTAGAGTCACGTTGCTGTTAGCCAATCAGAGGCAAGATGTCCAAATATCAGGAAATAAGACCCCAAATCCTGCCGTCTTCATCTCAGCGCTGATCGGGCTAATTTCTAGTTCCTGAAACAAGTGCACCAGAGTTTTTTTCCCAAGAGTACGACTTACAAGGCATTCCGTCCTGCTAGAGACCACTGCAAATGTATTAAAATATGAGTAAAGGGTTGTGTTGGGTTTGTTGTTCTTGGGCAGTAGTTGAGCAGCAACAATTATCTTTACAGACCATCGTTTGATTAAAATATTTATTTTTACTTTTACTATAAAATAATAGTATTCTCAATGGGTTTACCGTAAGGGTGTAGCTGGTTGCGGTTGAAGTCCCGGATTTTCAGCTGTGGTGTTTGATTCTGCTCTCTGAGTTTCTCTGAGCTCTCCTGTGTCCCAAATGTCACTTAATATTATCACCTAATATTTTAAAAAAAATATGGTCACTTTCTGTGTTTCTCCTTTTGAAACTGTTATTATCCCTCATCCAAAGGGCGACAGCCTGCCCCCCAGCCTGGCTGCCTTCTACCCAGCAGATCCCAGTGTGGTGGTCTACACTGGTTATGGAGCAGAGAAAGAGCTGTCCTTTTACAGCCTGACTAAAAAACAGGTAACACACTGGCTCCTTCCCTCTATCTGTACTGGAGAGATGCTAGTAAAATATAATAGTTTGTCATCTTTCATAACAGATAGTAAAAAAGATCTCTTTGCCCCACTGGGCCACGTGCATGAGCCTCTCCTCTAAGAATCAACTCTTAGCTGTTGGGTCTAAAGGTAAAGACGGGTTTTTCCAGTTGAAACCACTGGTGGGTGTTCTGTGTGTAAGAAAAGTGTTCCTGTGTCTAAACTTTCATCAGAGCGAGTGCTGAAGCTGATCCGGACAGACAGTGGCAGGTTTCAGGACGTCTCGCTGCACAGCGACTCTCTGCAGACGTGCCACTTCTCTCCCACTGGGACGCTGCTCTTCTCTGTGGCTTTTGATGAGGTCATGCTGTGGGAGGTGCATAGTCTCTGAGGACATCACATATTCGACACTTGTTCACTACCATATCCACCAGGCTCTAATGTTATTAACTTTTCATGTCCTCATCAGGTTTTTAAGGTGTTTTGTCACATCTGATTGTAAAATAAAGTTTTATATGGAAGATATTCTGTTTCATGGCATGTTGTTTCTAACGATGAATGTTTTAATGGTTATTCTAATGTTTTTAGATGCAGATGAGTGATCTACAGCTGCTGGGATTGTTCTAGATCACACGTGATGGAATTAGAACAGCCTGTATTAATGCTTATGGTTGTACAGGGCTGCATAGTAGTGCATTTTACTGTGTTAACGAGAAGGTTGTGTGTTTGAATCCCCGCTGTGTGGAGTTAGCATGTTCTCCCTGTGTAGACCAAAAACCTGCATATAGGTTAACTGGAGACTCTAAATTGTTTCTGAGTGAGTGAGTGAGTGAGTGAGTGAGTGAGTGAGTGCGTGCGTGCGTGCGTGAGTGAGTGAGTATGGTTGTCTCTGTGACAAACTGGAGACCCGTCCTCCTGCCTCATGAATGATGGAGATGGACTTCAGCTCTCCACAACCTTACTGAGGAGGAAGCAGTGAGTGACAGTCTAATTTTACCTCAGACGACCCAGATTCTATGAATTATCTTTACAGATTTATAAAAACTTTTTTACACCTTGACCTTTGCTCTGTCTGTGTTTTTTGTCAGATTCTGGATTGTACTGATGGGAAAATTCAAATTCATTTAGCTAATCCTTTCCATCTCTTTTTAATTAATGAAACGCAGCAGCTTGTCCAGACCAACGAGCACAGACTTCTGTTGCACCGCTGTTTATTGTAGAAATGGAAATTTATGTTCTTTTTCTCAGGACTGACAAATGAAAAATTAAAATAGGAGTATATTTAAAGAGTCTTGCTTTTCTATTCTGCTGTTGTGAGGGAGACAGCAGGTTTTCTAAAGGGGGTTTAAGTTTGTGTCATCTTCACATCAGTGTGGCATTTTTCTATGTATTTATTTTTCATCTTAAAAACATTTTAGCTGTAATTCTCCCATTAAAATGACAGATGTGGCTGGTGTGTGTCTTGGTTGAATCTGGACTGTAGGAACGTGACGTTTTCAGATTTGACGTCAAAAACAACTCTTCTGTAATTTCGCGGTTTGTCCAGCAGGTGCCGCGCTTCTGCGGGTTCCTGCTCTGAATGACCCGGAACAGATAGCTTTTCACCTTGGGTGCACATTTCTGTGAAGAGGGAGGCGCTCATTTAATTTCAGCTGGAAATTTGACATTCAAATGAAAGATACGCGTGTGGACAAACAGTCGGTGCGTCTACCCGCTCCTCGGATACAGAAGAAACATGAAACAAGACGTCCGGATTCTCTTACTGGGGGAACGTAAGTCGCTCTTACAAGTTACACGACTAGCAAACATTAGCTGCTGTGGCTAACTAACTTGAAAACGAGTTTACTTCTGGAGTGGAAAGCTCTACGTAATAGATGGACTCTATCAGATAAAAAACGAGGTTAAAATAAAGTTCTTATATGCTACTTTGTTTATGCTGCAACGTTTGCAGGGAGTTAGGCTGATCTGGTGAAGCATTTGTTTATAGAACCATGAAGAAGAACTAGGCTGGATCAGGGCTGTCAACAAACACTGATGCTGTTCCTAATCTGAGCCTCTGCACTTTTCTCCCCGCAGCCAAGGTGGGGAAGACCTCTCTCATCATGTCTCTGGTAGGAGAGGAGTTCCCAGAAGAGGTGAGCGCAAATACCCAACACTGTCCCATGAAGGGGGGAATCTTTGTGATGTTATTTTCCATCAAATAGCTCAGGTGGTGAAGCATGTCCTTTAAACAAATTCATCTTATAGTTGATCAAGTTATCTGAGGCTAAGGTTGCCCAAATGGTAGTTTTATGCTAGTTATGTAAAGGCACCGATTCTGGTTTTTGGGCCGATACCGATTCCTAATAGCCTGGCCTGCCAGACTCCTCTGTTAACTTCTGCACAGAGAAAGGGTCTGGGAACTCTCCTGTTCAAATAACCCCACCCCGTGAGAATTCTAACCGAGCCAATCAGCGCTGAGCAGCGTACGTCACACACCACAACGCCGAGTTTGTCATAATCATGGCGACTGAAGCGGAGTTCGCTGCGGCTCTTTCCTCTGTTCTAAACGACTTGAATGTCTTTAAAACAACAAGAAGTAGAAGCGCTAAAAGCCTTTCTTCTAAAGAAAGATGTTTGCGCTGTCGCCAGACTCCATTTTTGACTACAGCTAAAAAAAAAACTACAGCGTTGCGTGGTACAGTCGGCATTTCCGTCTTTTTTTCTGATTGGTTATTTTTGAGCTGCCTAGTCCTACCCCTCATGTGTCTCTCTGCCTGTGAGTTACCAGACTCTTGCTCTGTGCCGAATTAAACAGAGGAGGAGTCTGGCAGGCCAGGCCAGATTTCTAATTCCTGTCAGAGTTGCTGAAAATTGGCTATCTCCTGATGGCGCTTCTGTCAATTCTGTATTTTTCAGGCTTCCATGTTTACTATTTTATGTTAATGGTTTATTTTTTTTCTTAGCTTAATTTCCCTTTTCTTCTCCCATATTTACTAATCTTTTGTGATCAGTCTTTTATTTTTATTGTTCTTGTGAAGTGCCTCATGATTTGTATATGAAGAGGGGGAAAAATCTCTCCTAAGACGTGTAATTCACAGATTACCTTTTTTCTACCCATTGGTGTTATGATTTTGGAAATAAAAACGTTAGCCGTTATTGCTACCATATGTTAGCTGTTAGCATTGGTGTGCACAAACCAGGGAAGATGTCCATTTGGTAATGGTGCATTCATAGACTTAATAAGAAGTCCGACTTTTGAGTTTCGTATCAGCTGATTGTGCTGGACAATGGCAGATTCTTTGTTCTCTAGTGACGTGTGATATTTCATTTTAGTTTTCAAAATCGCCATTAAAATAGTCAGTTTAATCCTGTCTAATAATGAAAACACTGGTGTTCTTGTGAACAGCTCGAACTCCCAAGATTAAACCAGAACCACCCGGCTGTGCTATGTGATTTGTGTCTACATTTCTTTCTTTGGGCTGTTTCAGACAGCTTAGACGTCTGTGGCCTTTTGACAATAAGGGACATCAAAGCATGCAGAAGAAAAGATTGTAGCATGATCTGAGAAAGGAATTGTCTGTTTATAACTATTTTTATGCCATTAGTGCTTTTGTATTATTCATTTTGCCCTTTTAAATAATAACTGGCAGGATTAGATGGGATTTTACTGCAGTTTTATCACATTTACATTATCTTTGGGACTGAAAATAGTCTAGATTTGACTTTTTATGAAACCTTTGGGCCTGAGTGAATATCTGGACCTGTGAAATCAGAAGTAAACGTTCTCAGAATAATGAGAAACATATGTATTAAAGTGGATTTGACTGCGTGCCAGGTTCCCCCCAGAGCTGAGGAGATCACCATACCTGCAGACGTGACTCCGGAGAAGGTCCCCACTCACATTGTGGATTACTCAGGTATCCTACAGCACTCTCGTACTGGTTTATAACTGGCAGCTATGGGACGCATGATGTTAAACAAGTGTGTGTTTTCAGTTTGTTACACACACGATTGATGTGGGTCTGAATTAACTTTTTTTTTTTTTTTACAGAAAAGGAACAGAGCGATGAAGTCCTTAGAGATGAGATCATCAAGGTAGAAATCTCACGTCCGTCTCAGGATAACTTAATGCAGAAACATTTTGTAATAATCGTGCAGCGATCTTTGGAAAAAGGATGCAGCCGAGACATAAATGTAGCAGGTGAATGTTTTCTTGTGTTTGGGTGTGAACGCGTGTCTTCATCCTTCAGGCTAACGTGGTGTGTGTCGTGTATGACGTGACCGACAAGGAAACGATAGACAAGGTATAAAAGGATCTCATTTGTGTAACTTTGAATGTGTTTGGAATAAATGTTTATCCTACTGGTGACTGTCTCTCGTGTTTCAGATTAAAACCAAATGGATTCCTTTAGTAAATGGCAACGCAGAGAAGGGGAATAAGTATGTATCCGCTGTCACTTCCTCTGTTTGTGTTGGATTTTGTCAGACTCAGAACCTGCAGCAACATGAACATTGTTCAAGAGCAGCTAAAGGACCACATTAAAGGAACATATTACATTTGTTTGGATGAAAATCACAAGTTTCCAGTGAACTGTGAGACTTATTTCCCACCAGAATTCCCATCATCCTGGTGGGGAATAAATCGGATCTGCGCAGCGGGAGTTCGATGGAGACCATTCTTCCCATCATGAACCAGTTCTCTGAGATTGAGACGTGTGTTGAGGTGACGCTCTTTTCTAATCACTTCAGTCCACACACACACACACTTCTCTGCTTCCACGCTAGTATTGACACACTTTTTCTGACCCTTTATTGCAAGTGTTCTGCAAAGAACCTAAAAAACATTTCAGAGCTGTTCTACTACGCCCAGAAGGCTGTTCTCCACCCAACCGCTCCCCTTTATGACCCCGAGGACAAACAGGTCAGCCTTCTTCCTGAATGTAAACGAAGTCTCCGTAAAACTTTGACCTGAGTGCAAGTAAACACAGATTAACCCGCGTTTATTTGTGTGTTTCTGTGCAGCTAAAACCATCATGTGTACGAGCGCTCAGCAGGATATTCTTTATTTCTGATCAGGATAACGACCGCATCCTAAGTGACGCTGAACTTAACAGTTTCCAGGTGCCCCTCTACTCTCTCTCTCTCTCCTCTCTGATAGAATGTTTGGTTTCCTTCTTCAATCCTCAACCTTTTCCTGTAGAAATCCTGCTTTGGGAATCCTCTGGCACCACAGGCTTTAGAAGACGTGAAGACTGTTGTTTGGAAGAACACCAGTGATGGAGTCCAGGACAACGGCCTGTCTCTGAATGGTACAAACACAAGTATTGTTTAGACTTTGGTTGTGAGACGTCTAGCTAACACTCGTGTATCGCTTTCCTCCTTTGTCAGGTTTCTTGTTTCTTAATACATTATTTATCCAGCGAGGCAGACATGAAACCACGTGGACCATCCTGAGGAAGTTTGGATATGACGACAACCTGGAGCTGACGGATGACTACCTTTACCCCGAGTACGAGTCGTGACTGCGTTTGATCCGTTATGTTTGTGGACTTTCCTCTGAAGTGTTCTGTTTTCTTCCTGTTTCCAGACTGCGAGTTCCTGTTGGCTGCACCACAGAAATGAATCACTTTGGCCATCAGTTCCTCCAGCGGTTGTTTGATAAATATGATGAAGTGAGCCTGAATGCTTTCAGACGGGACAGTAAACCACGATAAAAGCACGTCAACTTGAACGGGTCTGCTCCTTTCTCAGGACAAGGACTCGGCCCTGTCCCCGGCGGAGCTGAAGAACCTGTTCTGCGTGTGTCCGTACATGCCTTGGGGTGCAGACGTTTTCATGACCGTACCAACCACAGACGAGGGCTACCTCTCTAGACATGGCTACCACTGTCAGTGGATGTAAGATGATGTCATCAGCTTGTTCTGACTGAGAGTTTGTTGTGTTCACCATTAAAACTCACCTGTGTGCCCTTCACACTAAAGGCTTTCTGCCTATCTCGACATCCATCGTTGCCTGGAACACCTTGGATACTTGGGCTACCCAATCCTCACCGAGCACGAGTCTCAGACTGCTGCCGTCACAGGTGTGTGTGTGTGTGTGTGTGTGTGTGTGTGTGTGTGTGTGTGTGTGTGTGTGTGTGTGTGTGTGTGTGTGTGTGTGTGTGTGTGTGTGTGTGTGTGTGTGTGTGTGTGTGTGTGTGTGTGTGTGTGTGTGTGTGTGTGTGTGTGTGTGTGTGTGTGTTTTCTGCAGGATTTCTAGTCGCTGATGAAGCCAGTTGTAGCCTAATGAATATTTCAGTAGGATCATTTACAGGAGGGGCACTCTCTCGCATGTTTTTGTTGTTTCCCTGCTCATACGCACATGATTCAACGGCTGAATCACCTGTTCAGCAACCCATCAAGCTGTACAGAAGCCTAATCACCTACTGGTTAAAATGAGGTGTGTTGGAGCAGAGAACCAACTAAAACGTGCTGGATAGCGGAACTCGAGGACCAGGGTCACCTACCCCTGATTTAAATGGTCTAATCCAGGGATGTCCAACTCTGGTCTTCATGTTTTTGTTGTTTCCCTTCTCTTACACACCTCATTTGTTGGTTTTTAAACAGTTCTCTGCGTTAACACGCATGCTCCACTGCATCTGGACCCAAACGTGCATGAATGGAGCTTTTAAGTAAGTCATTGCTGCAGATATGTGGGTGTCTGAAATGTAGACGTTTCAACACCGTTGATTTTAATCCGTGTTGGAGCAGAGAAACAACAAAAACATGGCCGCCTGAGAGAGGTGGTTCCCAAGTTGGGGTCACCACTACTGGTCACCAAGAGCTACACAGGCGGTCTGATGATTTCCAAAGATCCAAATAAAATTAAAAAAACAATAAAGAAGCTTTATTTGTAGAACTGTTACAGAAACTCAACTCATAAATGGGTGCAAGTGAACATGAACTGAAGTGGTTTTCCTTATGCCTTGGATTTGGCTTTGAAGCATGTTTGTATCAAATCCGAGACGTCTGGGGTTGCACGCTTAGACAGTTTTTATTTTGTGGGTCTGAAGCTGAAATGTTTGGGAACCAGTGGTCTAGAGGACCTGGTTGGAGACCCACAACTCCCTGAATAATAAAAACAGGTTTAAGTTGTTCAGAAAAACTATTAAAGTCTCTCCTTGTGACAAGGTAGGATCTCCAGAGCGTTAAACGGCTCCATTTTCCACAGTTTCATGGCTGGTTGTGTGATATTAGTTTAGCCCCCCTGTGGGTGAGACATTAAGTGTTACAAGCTCCAATATCACCGGCAGCAGCCGGAGATCAAGCCCAGCAGGAAGTTCTCCACACCTTTACCAGAATGATTGTGTATTAAAAAAAAATGCAGATGGAGTAACTGTTTAAAATAACACTTGTGAAACATTTTAGACCTAAACCGTTTTAAGCACACCACTCATACTAGCCGTTAGCTCATCAATCCTGTTGGATGTAAATTGCCTGTGTAAATGTGACTTTCAGGGATGGTGATCATCTAAACACGCGTCAGAATGGACCTGACATCCATCTTTATTTATTTATTTGCAGCCTTGTTGGTTTTTCTGCTGGTTCTTGGAGCTGTAAACGTGACTGAAGCATCCCACGCTTACGCCTAGTTGTCGTTTATATGTGCCTCTTGAGTGGAACGGGCATTTGCAGGCGAAGTGGATTCCAGATATTCTGATTAACTAGCTGACCCTTTTGGAGGGAAAGCCGTTTAGCATATATCAGGTTTATGTTTTATTTCTGCAGTGACTCGAGAGAAAAGCCTGGATTTGGAAAAGCGTCAGACTCAACGGACCGTGTTTCTCTGTAAGGTGATCGGACCGCGGGGAACTGGAAAGACGGCTTTCCTCCAGTCCTTTGTGGGTCGTAGCGTTCCGGTACGGAGCCGTGGAAATGCGGCTGGACCTGTGAAAAATTCATACTGGTCTCAGCCCTCAGGCCTGGGAATGCTGAGATGTGTTTTTTTTTTTTACAGGGTAAAGGAAATCCCAGCAGTGCCTTCACACCTTATGTCATAAACACCGTTCAAGTCTGCAACCAGGAAAAGTACTTGATCGTAAGTACACACGCTGACCTTCTGAGCCCGACAGGAGCTGCTGTACCATACTGTTTTTGTCCCTGTGCAGCTCAACGAGGTGGATGTGGAGACGGAGTTCCTGAAGGCGTCAGACGCCTCCTGTGACGTGGCTTGTCTCATGTACGATGCCAGTGACCCCCGTTCCCTCGACTATTGTGCCAGTATTTATAAGGTCAGCAGCTTTTGGTCTTACTTTTAGCTTTTATTCACTTTAAATGTTGTTGCAAGAAGAAAATACCTCGTCCCAATGCTCTTTTTTTAAGTGACGGAAATTTTAGATCCACAAATTTGACTGAAGAGGAAACGATAGATCATCTCCACCTTGCCTGACAAAGGTAGAGCTCTGTCAGGAATTAGAGCAAGCAGAAACTATATAAATGTTTGTTCATTTCATTGGTTTATTCCTGATATCAGTCTCTAATAAAACCGTAACATTATTGGACATTTTACTTTTGTACCCTGTCCTTATTGTTGTTTTTAAATTATATCGTCCCAATGAAATACGACTCCTTTCAGTCTGTCCTAGTTTTATGGCAACCCAATTTATCATGTAATAGATGAGCAGGGGCGTTAAAGTGTTTGTCTTTGTTTTGGTTCTTACAAGCATGTCACTCGTCCTGTTTTCCAGTCGTCTGTTGGGGTGTCAGCTCCACACGCTCAAGTTTGTCCTTCCTGTTTGGAACAAACATTGTAGCTGTCTAAAATAAAGTCAGAAGGACGTTTGGGAATTTCCTTTCCATTGAGGAGCTTGATTATATCTTATCAGGTCACGTCTGCGGCATCATTAGTTCTAAATGTTAATTAAAACCTTATTATGCAACTTTTTCATATTTTAGAATCATTTTCTTGAGCCAGTATATGCTAAAATGACCCTCTACTGGGTTAATGAAATGTCATTAACACTCCACCGCCCCTCGTGGCCAGAATACCGCTTTTGCAACTAGGGATGCACCGATACCGATAGGCACCGATACGATACCAATGCCGGTATCGGTGAAAGTTAGCTGATACCAGGAACCGATACCAATGCAGTTGCTTGAAAATGGCTTCACTGTAACTTGTCATTTCTGTTCACCTAATATTTTAGTTTTGTGATGATTTCCATTCATATATTTTACTTTTTATCTACCTCACAGTCTTCCTGTTGAAAGCAGAGAAGAAAATAAAATCTGTATTCCAAATCATTGCCTTTTTTGTATGGTAGAAGTATCGGTATTGGTAATCGGTATCGGCGAGTGCTCAGATCAAAGTATCGGTATCGTATCGGTTTGGAAAAAAGTGGTATCGTTGCATCCCTATTTGCAACTTCAGAGTTGGCAGGCCACTCCCTGCTGGTGAGGGGTGTTGTGGAGCTGACATGGTGGAGCTGCAGTCTGCTTCCAGCATGTTTCCTGCCTGTTTTAGGTCATGAACACCACTGGTTTGTTTGATTTGGTGATGAATCACTCCACTAGAAACTAATGAAGGCTGAGGAGACATTTCATCAGTTAAAGGTGTTAAAAAGTCGAACGCACAGCGAGGAGATAAGTTTGATTTTGGGTTTACCCCCAGAGAATAATAACGTACACTAGTGGGTGCTAAAAACAAACAAAACTGCCTAGTATCCCTTTAATAAAGACATGCTGCGGTGCTAAAGTTTTTACTTGTGTTTTCTATGATTACTCAGCAACATTACATGGATAGCAATATCCCATGTGTGCTAGTTGCCTCCAAAGTGGACCTTCCTGAAGCCAAGCAGTTCCATGGGATGACTCCAGCTGAGTTCTGCTACAAGCACAGACTGCCTCCGCCGCTGCCTTTCTCCAGCCTGCTTCTGGACTCCACCAGCAAGAGCATCTATACCAGGCTTGCCTGGGCAGCCATGCACCCGTAGGTTCACACCTTTAAACAAAAATCACTGAATACCATTAATATCATAGGGAGATTAATTCCTCCGTGGCAGCTTTATGGGCTATTTATTGTGCCTGATGTTCATGATTCCTTTTCTGGTGGTTCCTCCCATCTCCAGGCACCTGAAAGGCTCAGACATGAGCAGCACGTCCTTCTGGCTACGAGTGGCTCTGGGTTCAGCTGTGGTCGCGGTGCTGGGCTTTGCTGTCTACAGGGCTGCCGTCAGACTCAAATGACCTGTTAATTGGGTGAATGGTTTTATTTTTGTTCCCATGTGATGCTGCATCCACCAAGACCAAACTTTGAGACCATAGCTGCTGTAACCTGAACCAAACCAGGTCCCCGTGAGCTCATTTTTCTTTACATTGAAGACTCCCAGGAATGCCTCTGCCATCCTGCGTCTGCCCTCTCCTCTCTGGGGTCCTGTGATCATGACAGATCACAGGCAACTGGATGCTGGTGATCGTATTATTCCCCAGGCTGCTGTTTTTTTTTTTTTTTTTTTTTGCCTTATTCTGTTTTAACTAGTCCAGGTGTCAGCCAGCCCGTCTGCACTTGATACACACCAAGAGCTACAGCTGTTGCAAAGGTGCTTTATTTGGGAAAATGGTTTCTCTCCAGACATGAAATCATGACAATGAGTCAATCTTGCGTCTTTACTGCATATCCAGGTTACAAAAAGAGCATTTAGTAGAATTAAAACGGGAGCCTTCCTATCCAAGAAGGCATCCTGATCGAGGTACACCAAAACGTCTGCATGACCAGTGTTTTTTTTTTCTGACTAATGCATCACAACTAGGAGATTATTATTTGATTGCCAAATAACTCAAGCAGCAGGAAGCCGTTGTATCATCTTTCTGCCCCTTAGGCATACCACTCAGCCTGGAGGATTAGTTAAAAAGGGTTTTAGCCGTCACTCTTTCATGGAAAGTTTTCTTTTTGTATGAAGGAAATTAGTTTTTATATGGAAAAAGGTGGTTTGTAATGAGATTTGTTAAGAAATCAGGTCTCCAGCTAAGTAATCCTCTGAATCTGGTGTTTAAGAAAACCAAACATTTATCTGCTATTCAAACCTGATTTTAATTAGACTGAACTAAGTTGATGATTTGTACATTTGTGTGTAAAACAATCTACCATTGTATTGATTTTTTTGGTGGCCATCATTGGCTCATTCCATTGCTTAATTAAGCTGAGAACCTATTGTTTCTAAACAATTCATGTGACTTTTTTGTTCTCTTAATGAAAAAGAACTGATTTAAATGCTAAATAAAGACCAGACCAGACTGGACGAGAGCCTCAGACCAAAGGACACTGTGTGTTTAGAGATGCCATTAAGGATTAAAGTGTTGGCACATTTTTGGTTAAGACAGAAAACCCCACCGCGGTCACTGAAACAGACCAGGGGTAGTCACAGTGCTGTTTGGTATCAGGGTGTGTACTACACTGGACATGGACCACAGAAAGCTAAGCCTCTACAGGTTAGAAATGGACCAGCGTCCCCTTGACTAGCTAACTTGGCTAAAGCTTTTACAAAGAAACCAAAACCAGACAACTTTATTAATGTAGCGTTTTACAACAGCATGAGAGCTGACCAGGTGCTTGACAGAAAGGTGAAAACAAATGAAGACAACAATGAAGACGAAGCACAAAAAACGACACTGATAAAAATAAGCAAACAAAAACCGACCCTGACACTACTGTCGGAGGCTTGGGTCTGTTGTGGTGTTGCTCAAGGTGTGGTGAATCTGTTCAGGATCCAATGAAATCTCAAATTAGCCCAAGAGTGAGATCCAAACTTTAGACCACTCTGAGGTAACCTGTGGAAGGAGCTGAAACATCTGGAGACGGAACCCTGCAGACCCGAGAGACCAGGAGGGGACCAGAATACCTGTGGACAGGTGTCAAAGACTCCGATGTAGAAATTATGAGGTCATGACTTCCATTATTTTCCTCCAGGGCCGTTTTAGGGTAGAATTCAGTAGCAGTATAATATAAGAACAACTTTATTTATCCCGAGGGAAATTCTTGTGTCATGTACATGCTCAAAACAGTAGGAGAGACAAAGGAACCGGTGAAATAGAAATATGATATACAATATATACAGTAAAAATGATCTACAGTAATACCCTGTAGGATAGTGCAAAACAAACAATTGGATAACTCAACAAATAAATACATGACTGTATCCTGGTGAATAAGTAATTAAGCCGTCGGTGCAGGCGATTCACAAAAGTGATTAAAGTATTGTGTTATAGAATTAGGGGTAGTAGTAGCAGCATATGATATGATGGGGGGATAAAAACATACTTACAATCAGAACTCTTGGGTAATATTGCACAGTCTGGGAGGGAACAGAATAACCTAGGTAAAGGTATTAGGAGAAACACCTACAGGGTGAGGAAGAGTAATGCCTTTCATTGGTTGATTTTCAGTCATTTTGAACTGGTTCTTCTGGGATTGTTTTTAAGTTGTTTCAGAGAGTACGGCGGGTTTTAAAGAAGTGGGGCCAACAGCTGTAGGTTTACAGGACATTTCCCATACTCATGTGGACGTTTGAAAATCTTACTCAACCAATCTGGTTGCATTTCTCTAATTATTCCACAAGGGGCAGTCTCATAGCAACATAAATATAATATAGTAAATATAAACTATAGTAAATGTACTACTATATAATATCTATGAGCTAGCCCATCCTACATCTGTCTATGTAACTACAATTTGTGTTTAATCCTCCTTGTCCTCATCTGTGGGAGAGAAGCCGTCTATTCATATAAACCACCACAAGATGGCAGTGTTGTGATGCCAGGTGAGAGGCAGAACGTGAGGGCATGGGCGTGCCCCCCCCCCCCCCCCCCCCCATGACAACAGGTTAGGAATCTAGAAGAAAATCACTGCTGCAATATGATCTCTTAGAAATAGATTTAGTACCGTTTTAAAGACCACTTTCTCCTAAATTGATGTTTCCCTTTAATCCGAATTAGTTGTTTTGATTTCAGCTCCTTTTGTTCCATTTTTCTCCTTAAAACCCATTAACTCTGAATAAAGATCAATCGTCACCCTACTGAGGAAATTAATGAGCAAAACTTCTGTTTTATCTATTTCTGCATTAAATTTTCTGCTTTAACACAATAAAACATTAATCCACACCAGTTCTTTGGAGAGCTCTTAATCTATAACTGTTACAGCTTCTTGAAAATTAGTTTACTTGTTATAAAAAATGATTTAAGGTATTTATATTGGTATGGGTGATTTAATGCGCTTATTTGTATTAGATACGCAGTTAAACCACCTCTTTAATAAACTGAGAAAAACAAGCAAGTTGACCTTTTTAGATGATAAAGGTTTATTGAATAGCATTAAAGTGTCTGAACACATCAGAATGTTTGGAGATGTCAGAAAATAAAATATTTATATTTAAATATAGACAATGCATGTTTAATGAGGACTCTAGAGCCTATGGTCTGTACATGGTAATGAAGGCTCCACAAAACTCATATTTCCAATATGAACACGTGCTCTAACAATCACTACTCCTAGTTTAACTTTATATACACGCTCTAATGCAGCGATGCCTATTTGTGTTCAGTTATTAGACAAAATAATGCTATTAAAACCAAATAAAAAATGCTTTTAGAGAAACTACTGGTACAAACAGCTGACATTTGCATGAAACCTTACAAAAATAATACATATACCAAAACATTTCCTCAAGTATTTACAGTCCGATTTAAATTGTCCCACTTTCACTTCTTTTTGGCAGACTTGGCTGCCTTCTTGGGTGTCTTCGCCTTGGGCTTGGCTGCTTTCTTCACCGGCTTGGCTTTGGGTTTGGCCGCCTTGGACTTCTTCGCTGGAGCCTTCTTGGCTTTCGCAGGTGTCGCCTTCTTCGCGACCTTTTTCACTTTCTTGGCAGCTGCCTTCTTGGGCTTCTCCGGGGTCTTGGGCACCTTCTTGGGCTTGGCCGCCTTCTTTGGTTTGGGTTTGGCCACTTTTTTGGGCTTGGCGGACGCCGCAGCCTTGGCTGGCTTCTTGGAGTCCTCCGGTTTGGTCAACCGGAAGGATCCGGACGCGCCGATTCCCTTGGTGTGGCGCAACATCCCGGACGCCACCAGCCTCTTCAGGGCCATTTTAATCTGCACGTCGGCGTTGTCGCCCACTTTGTAGGTCTTCCTCACGTACTTCTGGATGGACTGGCGGGACGCTCCGCTCCGGCTGGCGTCGTGCACAATAGCCGCTTTAATCATGTCCGAATACTTGGGGTGAGAAGCGGGCTTCTTAGGCTTCGACGCCTTTTTGGCTTTGGCTGGAGCTCCCGACGTCTCTGCCATGGTGACTTTTTTCCCAGCAAGTTTTTAAAAATAAAAGTCCTGGATGTGTTGGTTTCACCCGCCTGGGTTGGCTTGATCGTCAGGAAGAGACAAAAAAAATGTGAGCGTTTTAACAGTAAAATAAAAAGTTGTAGGTTTAAGTTCGTTTTTTATCGTCTTTGAAGGATTGAAAATGATAATTGAGTCTCCCAAAAGCAAAGAAGAGAGGTATCAGTATGTCGGTGAACCAAAGTGTCTTTATTCCACAGGCGCTCCAGTGAGCCTATGAAGCCTATCTGCGGACGTGATTGAGAACACCAACTGCCAGCAGCTGATCTAGCGGACTCCATGGAACTGGCGCCGTCCCGTTTGTGTTTCTTCATCCTCCAACTCGCGTCAAATGTGAACCCCGCGGAGGAGCTGTGTCCCTCCGAGCGGGACGGGCTGATAGCAGGCACATTCGGCTCCACGGACATCCACTTGTCCTCCTCCGCCCGCGCCGGCGAACAACTTTTATTCCAGGAAAACCCACTGGAAGTAGTGCGTGCCGTGAACAATTTTGCACAATTCGCGCTAAATTGACCCAAACAGACGGAACCTGGGCGGAAATCGCGCAATGCATAAGAAAATCTAATCTATGCTGGAGCTGGTGCACGTGGTTCGGACGGCGCAGCCTCTCGTTTATGCTTTTAATACTTCCATACATTTTCCCAACTAACACAGTCCGGCCATTGACTTTGAATGACGTGTTCGAGATTATTTACTGTTAAACCTCCTATAAATGAAATGTCACAGCGTGTAATGTGCAGGTGACAGGTGGGACTCCATCGGGGCTTCATCTGGGCGGTGATCCGCACCGTGGCTTTTCTTTATTTGATGATTTTGGAGCAGAAATGCTTATAAGTGCGACTATAGCAGGCGCCTCTGGAGCTCCATTGTCAGGAAAGTTGCCAGCACCTCCAACACATCAGGGCTCGTTCTGGGGGCATTCGTTTAATTGATCACATCATTTTAGGACAGGGTTGCGTCCGGAAGTGGCCAGGTGTGAGTCCAGCTGCGCGAGGGTAAGAAGGGGGGAGATACTGCGGCCGAAACCAAAGTCCTTCAGTGCAAATGAGCGCAGTGATGGCTGTCTTTGTTAGGGAGCTGGCGCATCAGAGCGCATTCAATTAGATCTGTGACATTTAGATCCCCGCCGTGTTATAAGGTCAAGAGTGCCGCCGCAAAGCATAGAAAACCTCCCTTTAATAAAGAAACTTTATGATATTTCTACAGTTTTGTTTCTTGATTTAACAGGAGCGCTGCTGTCCCTCCCTGCAACGCCATTTTGATTCCTATGAAAGTCACAGCTGCTGAAGTAGTGCTTTTGTGGCATGCTTACTTTATTTTTTTCACTATATTTATGGAATGATATGCAGATATTCACCTTTTTTATGTAAAACCCACTGATGAGCATCGGTTTTAGGGGATCCGGTGGCTTTTAAGGGGGGAGAACCCCTATAATGCAGACTTTTGCAGGATGATGCGCTTTAATTAAAATGATTTTAAACTGAAGCCTGGCTTTTACAGCCTGATGCGCTCCTGTAGTTATGTTGAAGGTGATCAACAATAACTTTAATTTTAAAAACGAGTCGCACTGTGGTTAATTTCCACATGTTTTTGTTTGTTTACAAGAGGGTGGGCAGAGGATGGAGAGGGGAGAGAGTGAATGGGTGAGTGTGCTTTCACGGGAGGCTAAAGAGGGAGGATGTGTGTGTGTGTGTGTGTGTGTGTGTGTGTGTGTGTGTGTGTGTGTGTGTGTGTGTGTGTGTGTGTGTGTGTGTGTGTGTGTGTGTGTGTGTGTGTGTGTGTGTGTGTGTGTGTGTGTGTGTGTGTGTGTGTTAGTGAGAGAGAGAGAGGCACAAGAGAGAAAAGGGAGGGGGGTTAGTCCTAGATGAAAGGGTGAGGGAGTTTTTGAAAAGATGAAAATGTTTCGATGGTGCAAACTGAAGTGATGAGGGGAAAAGAAGATAATTAACTAAGTAAACAATGAACTCATTTTCTGTTCCCGACTCCAGGTTAGACTGGTGGTTTCTGCTGCGGATGTTTATAGTTAGATAAAGTGTGGAGACTGGAGCAGGTGGGTCTTCGTGGTCCGGTCCGGTTCGGAGTGATGCCTGCTTGTGTCCCGTTTAAGAAGCGAAGCCGTGGGGAGGACTAGACCACTCCCTCCCCTCAGCCGCCGACAGAGGGACGTCCTACTGGACCTGTAATCGGGATTTCACACACACATAAACACACGTGCACGCACGCGCACACCCAAGTGCCTTCGGATTGGACCTAATTTATTATATAATTGCTGTTTTATATCGTTTTCTTTGTGTTGAAGGTGGATTATTGTTGTGTTGATGAATAGCTCATGTAATGCAGCCGTTTCTTTCAGGATTTAGTGCTTTTTATGACACCAGACCGATATTGTTGAATGAACCCTACCAGTGAAACCAGTCCACGTGTTCACATAGAATTTAGTGAAATGGCATTGAAAAGGACTGTGCTGCTGTTCATGGGGACACAATGTAGCTCATTAAAGGTTCTGTTTTTAATTGTGAATTAGTTTGTGAAAACGTTATATTTTACGACTTCTAGCCCTTTAATCACTGAAAGTCAAAATAATAAAATTGTATTTAAAACTACACAATGTATTTGATAATGTAAACATGAGGACTACGTTATGAATTTTATTCTATTATATAATAATAATATAACAATAATGAATGAATGAAATTGACCCTATATCTGTAGATCCTCATGGCAGTACACGTGTATAGGACTGAATGAGGTTGATTAAGGTACTAATACTAATACTCCATCTGACCTTAATGCAGCTTGACGTGAATTTGTGAAATAAAAGCTCTTTGGATGGCCCCAGTTTGGGGAAAGAGAGCTCTGACCAGATTTATGAACCTATACTTTGTTTCGTTATGGCTAGTTTAACCCTTTGATGCATAATGGTCACTACAGTGGACAGGTACTCAAAATTGTTATTTATTTATTTTGCTATTAAGCACAGCTGTTGAAGACTTTATTGCATTTGAGCTCCTCCATTTGCACTTCAGTAAGTCAAGCCAACATATTTCATGTTCAGAATGCACAGTAATAAATTAAGCAATTTATGTGAATGCATGTTTAACCCCTTGTAGACTAATTTTGCAGACAGGTATCAAACTCCTTCGGGCTTTAAAGTATCTAGATAGAGTATCAGGATTAGTACCTTCATCATAAACCTGCCATGGCGAGAACCTATTTTACTTGTCTATTGTAAATACATAATAAAATAATAATTATTATGCAGATGTTTTATTAACATTGAGCTGAAACTGTTTTAAATGTTATTGATATATCTAGGGGTCGGACCTTGACAATCAGTCAGTTTCTCGTAATTCTGGCATGAATATGAAAGCCTGACCAGAAGTGTAACAGATCTCTTACTAACTAGCTGTTAATAGCTCAACTATGTTCGGTACCTTTATTCTTTATTTTTGAGTTTGGTGTGAATCTTACTTGATATTGCCAATCTGCTTTGCTGCTTGTACACCAAATATGTCATCACTGAGGAACAATAAACGAAAAAAGGAATTTTTTATTCCAATCTATCAAATGTTATGAAAAAATACTGGAATGCAGATATGGGTTTAATGTTAACATAAATAGTTAGATTTCTGACATTAAAGAGCAAGTCACCCCCACCAGAGTATTACTCCGCTACCACTTCCTGTTTGGAAAATGCAACAAATGCTGTTGCCTAGCAGACCTAGAGGGCGAAGACGCAAACAAATACACACACACACAGGCTCACAATGACATTGTGACATCATATGGTACCAGCTAATGTCCTAGGGTACCTCTTAGCCAATAGCTATGGCAGACTTAAATTCAAATGCAGTGCAGAGTTTTTACCTGACAACGGCACAACACTGACAGTTTTAGAAAATAAAAAGTTTAACTAAAATGCACTAACGTGCTAAACTATTGACTACACGTGTCTGCAGCACGATTAGACATGCATTTATGTAGTTTATCAGGAAAAAAAAGATGGTTTGGGGTGACTTGCTCTTTAAAGAGTTTGTTGTGATTTTTACAGCACCAATCCACATTGTTCCTGGTTCTGTTGTGACTATTTGTTAGCTTATCAGCCTATTAGTGCTAATCTCCATTTCTTCACAATCCGCGATTGGTCCAATATTCCTCGACAGCTCGTTAATTTTCTGGTAAGCCAGGAAGCCTCCAATGCCGATCAGCAGGAAACCCGACACCAACACCACGAATATCCACACATCTTCAGAGTCCTCCACAGACAGCTGAGATAAACAAATCAAGTTCCACTGTTTCCAGGAGTCCATGATGTGTCCAACTGGGCCTGTCGCGGAGGGGCATCCGGGAGCCCCTTCTCCCGTTCTCATCGTTGAAAAAATGTTATCAACCGCGTTGAGTGACTAACTGATGAGATCCATTTAAGTGAATTTCAGTTTCCAGTTTCCAGAAAAAATGCAGAAGCAGCCGTGCACCCAGCACACACAGACAGACAAAGTGTCACACCTTGTCCTGTCTCCCCTTTTGGTTTAGTCCTGTGTCTCTGTTAATTGCTCCCACCTGCCTCTCGTTTCCCAATCACCCAAGCTCCCAGCCCTCCTGTATTTAAACCTCTACTGTTTTGTGTCTCATGTTGGATCATTGTTTCTATGTCCTGCGTGCGTCAGATTAAAGTTCTTGCTAAACGTTCCTACCTGTCTGCCTGTCTTCCTCACCCCGTTTGGATCCTCACCTCATCTCCGCTTCGCTCACCGGCACGTAAGTGACACAAAGGCCTTGAGGATAAGATATGGAGGAGAGGAGAAGAAAAGCGTCTGCACCCTCCAAGGGCCGGAAGAAGAATTTGAGTTAAAAATAAGAAAACTAAAGATTTACGTAAAAACAGCTTTAAATAAAAGGGTCTTTAGCTGTTTTTTTTTAATGTGTCCAGACTGTCAATGCTACATAAGGATAAAGGAAGATCACTCTAAAGTCAGGGTGCAACAGCCTGGAAGGAGCGATCACCTCGACTTTTGTGTCTGGTCTTTGGAACTTCTAGAAGGTTCTGGTGTGTGGACCTGAAGGCTCAAGTTGGAGCATAAGGCTTTAAATGTTCAGTAATATAGGGAGGAGCATTGAAAGTTATAGTCAGGATTCTAAAATGAACTCTAAAGTTAACGGGTAACCAGTGCAAAGACATCAGAATGGGAGTGATGTGTGCTCTTCTGTT